TCATGGGGGAACGGGGCACTGGGTGGTTGCGCTGCAGTGGAGGGTGGCTGTGGTATGGGTTTGAAGGTTGGGTGTTGGAGCTTGATCGGGAGAACGCAGAGAGAGAGAAATTTTTTTCTTGGTTTTTAATATTTTACTCATATTTTAATCAATTTAAAATTTAAAAATATGGGACCCACAGTACCACGTAGGCAACTAATAGAGAGATATGACGAAGACCCTAATGGCGGAACCACATTGTAATAAATTTAAAAGACCGGGGTATGTGATTGTTAAAATTGAAAAGATAGGTACTAACATGTCTTAAGGGTGTAACCACATGGTACTAAACTGTAATTAACCCAAAAAAATATTCTGAATTTTTTGGTAATTTTTCAGAAATTTTTTAAATTTTTTTTAAATTTTTTTTTCTTCGCTGATGTCAGTGCCCTCAGGCAATAGCTTGAGCTGTTCTTGCCTTTGAGCCTACCCAGTTTTCGTGAAGCCCACCATCTGCTCAAGCTGGATTTGTGCGGTGGAGTGGGTTTTTTCAACTTGGGGAGGGTGAGTTTTTGGCCTAGGAGGGCTTTGCGGTTGAAGTGCTGTTTGTTTCGGGTCTTTTTCGGGTCAATTCGCCATGACTTTTTAATAAATGGGTGGGTTTCGGGTCAACCCACTAAAATACCTATGTAACCTATTTAACAAAACGGTTCATGGTGAGTCAACCTGCCAACCCACTAACTCAGTAAAATACTTATGTAACCCACCAAAGGAAAAAAGGAAGAACAGAAACCCACGGGATTAAATTTTCAGGTCTTTTTTGGGTCAATTCGCCATGACTTAGAGGTAAAGCTCGTTTAATAAATGGGTGGGTTTCGGGTCAACCCACTAAAATACGTATGTAACCCACCAAATACTCGTGTAACCCGCCAACTTGTTTATTTGTTTATTCTTCAATTTTTTTCTAATTTTTTTTATATGTTTTTTAGTTGCTACCACTTAGTGTGTCAACCTGATACACAACTCAAAACCCGCACGGGAAATTAGCGGGTCAACCCGACACGACACATTTATTAAACGGGTCGGGTTTGGATTGAGCATTCTTAACACATATATGATCTTGACATGACACGAACCCAATACATATTAATTACTAAATATTCTTTAATTTGATGGATTTTTTACAGAGATGATTTTTAAATTGTAATTTTTAAAATAAAAAATTTCTTTAATTTGATTGATTTTTTTATAGAGATAATCTTTAAATTGTTTTAATTATAATTTGTGTATGGTGAAATTTTCTAATCATAACATTACATACATGGAATGTACTTAATTTCATCATTATTATCATTTTTTTTCTTCACAAATTCAACTACCTACAAGTTTGGCCCCTAAATTTTTTTTTTACCTATAAGAGCCCGTTTGGTTTAAAGTTTAGAAACTTAATAATGGATAGGAAATTGTATTTTTATGTTTGGTAAGCCCACTCTTGATAATGGAATGTCCTTGGCTCACATTGGGAATCTTTTCCCCATGGGAAAACATGTAATACCCCTTTTTAGATTAAATTACCCATATTCTAATTTTCAAATACTACTTTTCATTGATAACTTTGAATGATTGGAAAACTTAACAACTTCATTCCTAATATTGTACAAACCAAACATGGAAATAAGAGAAAATTACCTTTGTTGGTCTTCATTTCCCAACGTTCCCAATACGAGAATGAACATCTTCCATTTTCATCTCCCATTGTTCATTCCACAAACTGACGTGTCTACACGCAATGTTATACCCCAGTAGGGATGACATAAATCCTCATCGGACCGGGTCCCCAACTCTAATGAGGGGATATTTTAGGGGAAAATAAGAGGCTGGTATGAGGATTGTAAGATCCCACATCGACCAACGGAGGGGGTGATGTGCCTTATATGTACATGCTCGCCTCCATCTAGCACGAGGCCTTTTGGGAGCTCACTGGCTACGGAGTCATGGGAACTCTGAAGTTAAGCGAGTTGAGGCTAGAGCAATCCCAAGATGGGTGACCCACTGGGAAGTTGCTCGTGAGTTCCCAGAAACAAAACCGTGAGGGCAGAGAAGGGGGCCCAAAGCGGACAATATCGTGCTATGGTGGAGCCGATCCCGGGATGTGACAAGGATCCCCAAATTTATAAAATCCTCGATTGGGAACGGGCCAGGGATAGTATTGTTATTCTCATCTCTGAACACGGCCCAATAAGTAATATATTTATCTTTAAGTAGTTTATAATATAATATAACCATGCATGATTATATAATATAATATATATTTAGTTTTGTCAAATTGAATTGAGATTATTTTGAGTTAATAAGTTGAATTTTATTATTCAATTAAATGTAATTGAGTTAAAAGATAATTTAAGTTGAAAGATAAGTGTTACAATGTATAATGAATATTTTTGTAAAATAAAAAATTGGGGATTCGGGGCGAGTTTTGGAGATAGCTCCCCGACGGGGACGGGAATTCCCCAAAAATTCTTATAGGGGATAGGTACGGGACGGAGGCGGTATTGCCGTACTCGGCCCCGAACCGCCCGTTACCATCCCTTATATCACAGACCAAAAAAAGAAAATAGACAAAAAGGAAGAGGACCGGACCGCAAAATGTTTATCAAATCCAGCTGAAAAAACCCCTCAAATCCATCACACTCTACTCCCTCTATAAAAACTCCGCACAGCGACTCGTGTATACAAACTACACATCCGATTGCTCCATCATCCACCGTCGGATCAACCATTCAATCACCAAAACCGTTTATCAGAAGCTATGGCTCCGATTGCAGTCGGCGATGTAGTACCGGACGGTACTCTGTCCTACTTCGACGAGGAGGACAAGGTCCAAGCGGTCAACATCCACTCTCTCGCCGCCGGTAAAAAAGTCATCCTCTTTGGCGTCCCCGGTGCCTTCACCCCAACTTGCAGGTAAACCCTCAATATCTCAATCTTCGATTTTTGGGATAAAGAATTTTCTGTAAACCCTGTGTTTGGTTCCCGGGAAAGTGGGAGGATAAAGTGACCGCCACACTGCTACTAGTGGTTGGTCGATTGTATTTTTTTGTCCATGTCGTATGCTTAATTAACAAGCAAACAGCTTTGCTTTGCTCTGAATTTATACAAAGCGAGACTAGTTTGCCCTCGTGTTTGATTTATGTTAATATTTTTTTTATGCTTTAAAGTTTTTGCTGAGAATTCGAGGTTGGTTTTTTCTGTGTTTATGGTTTTACAGTTTGAAGCATGTGCCTGGATTCATTGAGAAGGCAGACGAGCTTAAATCAAAGGGTGTTGACAAAATTCTCTGTCTTAGCGGTAAAGCTCTCACTTCATTTTAGTTTACAAGCAGCAACTATAGTGGCACTTTTCAAGGATTATTCTTTGAATTTGATTGATGCGTGGATTCATGGACTAAGTCAAAACACTTTTCTTCAGTTGATCAATGATCATACATATTATTCTGATATGGTTGGCTTGGCTGGATCATAGGTTCATAAAATCATTAATTATAGTGTTTTAGATAATATTATGTGGGATATAAGAGTTTAAGGAGATTCATGATTCTTTGAAGACAAAGAACTTAACTTGAGTGAGGCAAATTCTTCCTGTGTATTCAGTTAGTGATAGTAACTAATCAAGTGTTCTTAAGAAGAAAAAAAACTAGTGAAGTGTTCGTAGATATTTGATTAGATCATCCTCTGTTGGCCGGAATACCTATTGGATTATTTTGAATGAGTAATGTTTGCAGACTTGAGGTTAGTTTGTTTTCTATACTTCTGCATTGAACACAAACACAGCTTCATAACATAAGATAACATTCGTGATCTGTGTTATCACCGCCCCTTGTTGCTTTGCATTTCCGGTATATGGTCATTACATTACTTGATGTGGTATTGTCACAGGGGTTGCCATATAAGTTCGTGAATGAGAAAGAATATGTAAAGTTTTTTGTACCTCTAACAATCAATCATGATAATAAGATGCGACTTCGCCCACTGAACATATGTGTTTTCACGCTTACTTGGTGGTTTACTCTGATTGATCCATATCCATATAAAATGCCGTTGAATTTGAGTCTATAGTCTCTACAATCAGATATCTAATATAAAGCTTTGGTTCCTGTTTGCAGTGAATGACCCCTTCGTGATGAAGGCTTGGGCTAAATCATTCCCTGAGAACAAGCATGTCCTTTTCCTTGCTGATGGCTCAGCAAAATACACCCATGATCTTGGCCTTGAGCTTGACCTTTCGGAGAAAGGACTTGGAACTCGTTCTAGGAGGTTTGCTCTCCTAGTCGATGACCTCAAGGTGAAGGCTGCAAATATTGAAAGCGGAGGAGAATTTACTGTCTCCAGTGCTGATGATATCCTCAAGGCTCTTTGAATATTCCCTTCTCCCACCCTTAGCCTGCTCCTCCTTGTATCGAGACTTGAGCCACCCTTTCTATATTGCCTCTCGCATTTTTAGGCTATGTGGATCTTGAAATCTTCCGTCAAGTACTTTCTCTAATGAAAATAAAGGAGCTGTTTTGTGGGTTGGCATAAAGTTTCTTGCTCCTTGAAGGCATTGTTTCTATGTTTACCTGCATATGGGGATATCTGAGGCAGGATATTCAAATATTGCTTGGGCCTAGAGCTAAATACAAATTAATTTTCTCTTTAACATCAGTATCAATTACCTAATACATATAAAGTGGAACCCAACAAATTAACGTACCGATTCATAACATTTGTTCTCGGCCTGTTACGGAGAGTTCAACATTTGATCATTAGTCCAAATAAAGGACCTATATTTAAATACAACTATTTTTTTGTTCATTTATTTTAACAAGTGATGGTCTATAGGGAGAGGGATTCGAACTCGGGTATTGGAAAGAGGGATTCGAACTTGGGTCTTATGCAAGTCTGTTACAACTGTTCTTTCTTTTTGGGCTGGTACATCTGAGGTGGAAAGGAAGAGGGAGGAAATATATCTTATTTTGACCAGATTAACAAATGGTGATTTTGGAATTTGGGTGATTGTGCCTGCCTACAGCTTCATTTCAACTGTGATAGTTGAACCTGGACCCTGTGGCCTTCCCTCCCATCAAAACCAAGGTGGTTGTTAAAGCTAAACATTTTAATACAAAAAATGGCATATTTGGTTAAACTTTAAACGACACAGGATCACCTAAGAACCCACAATTACTTGGGAAACTTGCCATATAATCATTCAAACTAATTGAACTTGGCTGCATAAATGAAAAAGGCAATTCGATTGTGCAATGCAATCTGTTGGAGTGTAAGCAAATTTCTCTCAGAGGAGACAGCTAAATCGTGGCTTTTTTTGGGGCAAAGAGCCTCAATTAAGCAAAGCAAAATTTGTTATTCAAATGCTAATTGTTGAAAATTAACGGGGGTCTTAGTAAAATTGTTGAAACATGTGTATAAATTAGGGTTCATGGAAATTATTTCTCTTTTTGTTGAAAATTTGAACAGCTAGCTAATGTAAATTTGAGATGCGTGCCAAATCGGAAACCATGGTCGACGGCAATCAAGCATGTGGGTCCAAAATTTTAATAGTCCATCCAGGTGATTGCATGTGTAAAAAAGGTAGTCCTTTGATGAATTTAAATGCCTTCACCAACAATCCTAAAAAAAGTCTTGGTATATCCTGGTCTTGAAATGGAGAGAGATTTCATGAAACGAGGATAACACTTTTTGCTATGTTCGGTCAATAGCGTAATTGGTCAGAGATAACAAAACAATAATATTCCCGTTACAATAAAGTTTTTTTTGCCTAAAATAAGGTAGCCTCCCTTTCTCCTAAATTTTTGCTCATAAAAAAAATAAAAAGCCTTCACCAGTGAAGCATCTATTAAAAGACAATAGAAAACTAAGTAAAGATAGATTTACACACAAATTAAAACCTTTTAAATCTTTTGAAAATACAAATTACTTTCCAGTATCTAAAAGCACATAGAAGGGTCAACATAAAGGTTAAGAACTAAATCAGATGTGAAATTGTAACAAAAATGATTCTCCTGTAATGATATATATAAATATCATAAGGAAAATTGTTCATCTGTAATGTTTTTTAAGAAACATTCTAGCTGGTTTTTACCGCTCACCATTTTGGTAGTAACTGGAATTTCTTTTTAAATTCATTTCTTATGTGACTGCAAGTTGGAAACCAGCAATAAAGGGACCAATATGACCTATAGATTAGGTACCGTTTGAGAGGGGCCCATTTTATGTAATTCAAAAAATATTTCTGTTGGATTTGAAATTTATTTAGGGGGACTAAAAAGTGCAGCTACACCCTTTGACCACAAACAGGACAACTCTCTCTTTCTCTCTCTTGCTTGCTTAATTTAAAATCTTTCTTCTTGAAATTGGAAATTAGAAGAGGACTTCTCCTTGGCTTCTATATCATCTCACACCTCAACACACTGTTCTCAGCTCGCTTTCTACTTCTTCTTCTTCCACTGCTTCTGTTTCAACTTTTTGTTTGAAGCCAGCCCTCTTGCTTTCTTTAAGCTGAACTTTTCAATATCATTTCACATATATATATTTGTCCAAGTTCTTTTGCTACAGAGCTACCAACTGCTGTTTCAAGTTGTGGGGTTGAGAGAATGAGTGCTTCAAAGTTCATTAAATGTGTCACAGTTGGGGATGGAGCTGTTGGGAAGACTTGTATGCTTATTTGTTACACCAGCAACAAGTTTCCTACTGTGAGTCCTTCAGCTTTAACAAAAGCTTTCAGTTTCCTTGTTTTTTCTTGCATTTATGGATATTTCTGCCATGGATTTGCTTTTACAATTTCAATATATTCTTCTTCTTTTTCCAGTTTACTTGTTTTGTATGCTGAAAACGTAACTCTCTCTCAATTTCTGTTCTTTCTTTTTTTTGGTGTGGCAGGATTATGTACCCACAGTTTTTGACAATTTTAGTGCTAATGTATCTGTGGATGGGAATATAGTAAACTTGGGGCTATGGGACACTGCAGGTAATTTGGTCTTTCCTTGTACTGAGTTTCCTTACTTCTGCTCTTTCTGGGTTTCATGGTTTGGGGATAGGATTTTGGTTAATTGTTTATTTCTCACAACTTGACCTTTCTTGTCTTTTGATTTAAAGGCCAGGAAGACTACAGCAGGTTGAGGCCACTAAGCTATAGAGGTGCAGACATATTTGTGTTAGCTTTCTCTTTAATTAGTAGCGCAAGCTATGAGAATGTTCTTAAGAAGGTAATGATTCCATGGCCAATATCTTTTCATTTTAATAATTCCTGTCACCTTTTGGGTTGGGTGGTCTTTCAAATTGGGAAGATGAATAATGTTTCATCAAGTATTGAGTTTGTTTCTTCATATACTTGGATTTGACGTTTCACTGATTAAAGTTCATCCATTCTAATATATTTCTCAGTGGATGCCTGAACTTCGTCGATTTGCACCTAATGTCCCAATTGTTCTTGTTGGGACAAAGCTAGGTAAGCATCAACTTTGGCAATTTTGTTTCCCCAATAATGCTTTAGGGTGTTCTTAATATCACCATGCTTATATCTTCTATATATTTAAGATCTCCGCGATGACATGGGATATCTAGCTGATCATATGGGATCCAACATCATAACTTCTGCTCAGGTAATTGTTTTGTTTATTTTGGTTCTCCAAGATTGTTGCTTTCAGAAAGCATTTGGATTATGGAAAAGAAGCTCATTATGCTTAATATGCAGGGAGAAGAGCTGAGAAAGCAAATAGGTGCTGCAGCTTATATCGAGTGCAGCTCAAAGACTCAGCAGGTAGACAACTTAGAAGAATATAAAATTTAGGGGATATTTCATGTCTAATCTTTTTAAAGACGAATACGTTTCCTAAAGTTGTTAAATAGTATAAAGTACTCGCTTGAAAATTAAGACTACTGAATTATGAACTCTGCTTGGTTGGTCAGAATGTCAAAGCTGTTTTTGATACTGCCATTAAGGTTGTTCTTCAACCTCCAAGAAGGAAGGATATGGCTAAGAAGAAAAGGCACCGAAGGTCTGCTTGCTCAATTGTGTAAGTACCTTTGTTGCTCCAATATTTTTTGTTCATCTTCAAGGGAAAATAATGTGATGAGGTTCAGCTGTTCAGGGAATGAAAATAGTTCCACCTAAGTACTTACAGACTGATCTATTTCAAGAATAGAATCACAACTCCTTGTGAGAGATCTAACTTTTTGTTTTGCCAATCGATAGAGATAATTACACCAGTATAAATAGCTTTCCGCCTCGCAAATCCCAATCCTTGCCTGCTCTTTCTCGCGCTTGAATCTAGGATCCTGAACCCCAACCTCTGCTTAATAATTGATATGTGCCATTAGATTAACATGTCATTGGTGAAGTGAAGTGCATGTAGAAAGATAAAATAAACCAAATGCCGAACCAGAAAAATGGTCAGAACCTGTGTCTTTCAATTCATAAATGTTTGCTGCCTTGGCTGGGGCCTCCTGTGGTCCAAGAAACTGATATGGAGCACTTTAGGGATCAACATAACTGTGTTTGTCATATCCAGATATGTGCCTCCTGTCAAAATAGCCAAATAATTCCTGAATTGTAGATTTTGGAATCACACTAACTTTTTTTAAAGTGAGCTGGCGCAGTTGGTAGAACTTTCGCTAATCTAGTAATCTAGGATGTAAAGTGACTAGACATAGTAAGATGCGGATGGTTATGAGGATGACTAGTTAATGGTTATCCTCCTCTCCATTGTAAGGGGGCCAGAGTAAAGAGATTATGATCAGTCATATACTAAAAAGTTTATAATCAGTCATATGAGCCATATCTCTGTCTCATGTACATCTTTTACTTGAATGATCCATCTATCAATGCAATTTACGGGCATCCAGTGTAGTAAATTTTGTATTGCTCTTACTGATTGCAGGAGCATTGTGTGTGGAGGCTGTGCTGCTTAGGGCGAAGCCTGAGAAGGAATGCTAACCACTGCCTTTTCGAAAATAACGTTGTTTTGCGGTTTCTCTTGTGGGGTTTTACAAGCTTAATCCTGACAGGCCATATATTTCTTATGTGTGTATTGTAGCTTAAGTATTGAAAAATGTTTTGTTTTTAATTGGCAAACTGACTGGAAAGCGGAAGTGGAGGGAATTGTTCATTCTCTCATGTATTGTTTACTAGGGAGGGAAATCTTTTCTTCAGTTCAGTGTATGGTTTTCTTCTGAAGCACAACTTGTTTGCTTTGTATTAATTAATCACATTATTAATCCTCGACACCCTTGAGCTATTTAGAACCTCATAACTAACTAGGATGGATCCTCTTTGATTTAAAGCGGCTATAATCTTGCAAAGACTTTATAGTTTTAATGTCTGCATTTGGATATTCATATTGGAATCTTATTAAGACTGCAATTCTCTGGTAACCGAAGATTGAAGAATTAATAGATATAGTGAATGCTTTACTGACACCAACTCTCTCTCTCTCTCTCTCCTGAAAGACTCTAATGAATGAGGAGAGAATTAGATGTATCATAAATGGCTGCAGGGGGAGACAGCTTCTGCTAGTCTCTTTATGCAGCCAGGTAGAGACATTATCAATGCAGTGGTCCTATATATATGTATATGTCTCTGATGATTTTGCCCAAACGAGGCAGACAGGGTGGCCCTGCACTGCATTAATGATCAACTTATCTCTTGTATTTTCTACCCACAAGATTTTTAGCTTGCATTTCATGGCTCTCACCTGCAGACTGCAGCGGCTGCCACTATTGTTTCATTTCATATGGCTGGCTGTATGTATAATGAGCCAAGGCCCACCATAACTTCTTGCACCTCCCAATGAACAAAAATTCAAACCTTTCTAGGATTAAGAACCAATGAACAGGAAACTGAATCTTTCTCAAAAATCTTCATAGAATAAAATTAAAGGTGATGGAAAGTGAAAAAAAAAATCATAATATTACAAAGTTTTTCAAATAGATTAGAGAGTTTTGGCTTTCCCCATTATATTTTTGGTTTTTATCCGAACTTATGAAGAATTTGAGATTTTGGACTTGGCCTCAGGCCTTCGATTGTCACTAACTTGGGCTTGGGCTTGGCCTCTGGCCTTCTGTCTTGGGGTAAATTCATGACTAAGGCAAAATAGATAATGTCTTTTTTACCTTACTATATTACAAAAATATCAAGGGTGTTATTGGCTTTCTACGCCTTATTTGTCCTTTTTTTTTTCGGTTACATTGAGAGGAAAGACAACTCTGGAATTTCGATCCTGGGTGTCAAATATGGCAGAAAAACTTATATGAAACGGGGATAGCACTGTTTTGTTATCATGACCGATCACAGATTGACACGTAGAAAAGTGATCACGCATGGCATACCATGATTGAGTGAAGATATTAAAATAGTGTTATACATGTTTCATGTAAGTGTTTCTCTAAGCATAGACTTGGGCTTGGCCTCTGGCCTTCTGTCTTGGGGTAAATTCATGACTAAGGCAAAATAGATAATGTCTTTTTTACCTTACTATATTACAAAAATATCAAGGGTGTTATTGGCTTTCTACGCCTTATTTGTCCTTTTTTTTTTCGGTTACATTGGGAGGAAAGACAACTCTGGAATTTCGATCCTGGGTGTCAAATATGGCAGAAAAACTTATATGAAACGGGGATAGCACTGTTTTGTTATCATGACCAATCACAGATTGACACGTAGAAAAGTGATCACGCATGGCATACCATGATTGAGTGAAGATATTAAAATAGTGCTATACATGTTTCATGTAAGTGTTTCTCTAAGCATAGAAAAAAAGGGAGGGCCATAACCACTGATAACCCTCGTGCTTTCAATCTTGCAATTTTCTCACATGTGGCTTTTTAAATCTAAAATTACGATTTTATTCTTAATATTGATGGAAATTTGAATGGACATTCAAAAAATTGACAGCGACTCTCTTTGTTTTTTTTTTGGTCAACAATTGACAACGACTCTCTAGTTGTTATATTTTATATAGTTGAAGTCTTTAATTTTAAAAAATAAATATTTAGGGGATAAATTGATAATTATGTATAGTTCAGATAACCCAAAAAAAAAACCCTTCAACACGTTTTGTATAAGCTTCACAAGCTATTATCGAGAAAAAGGGAAAAATAAAAAAAAAAGCTTTAGAATCAGAAGCTCTAACTCGCAAGCGCATTTCTTCTTCTTCCTCTTCCGATTAACATGGACTCTCCTCCAGCAAAGAGCTGGAGCATCCACAGCCGGCCCGAAATCATCGCAAAGTACAAGATCCTCGAGCGGGTCGGATCCGGAGCCTACTCGGATGTGTACAGAGCCATTCGACTCTCCGACAACCTCACCGTCGCGCTCAAGGAGGTCCACGACTACCAGTCGGCGTTTCGAGAAATCGAGGCCCTCCAGGCCCTCCACAGCTGTCCCAACGTCGTCGTTTTGCACGAGTACTTTTGGCGCGAGGACGAGGACGCTGTGCTCGTGTTAGAGTTTTTGACGACTGACTTGGCCACTGTGATCAGAAGCGCTAAGAAGAGAGAGGGTGGGATTGTGCGCGGGGAGGTCAAGAGGTGGATGCTGCAAATCCTATCTGGAGTTGACGCGTGTCATCGGAATATGGTGGTCCACCGCGATTTGAAACCCAGTAATTTGTTGATTGGTGATAATGGTGTGCTTAAGTTGGCTGATTTTGGTCAGGTAATTTTGATTGCTCGCGGATTGCTTTTGTTGGTTTTTTTTCTTTTCTGTTTTTGTTTCAGAAGAAAATTGCGAAACTTTGGTGTTTTATTGATGGGTATTGAGTCACATTAGGGGCTAATGATTCTTTAAAGTTTTCTAATAAGAACTATAATCGTGCTTTTATAGGTATGTAGTAGATTAGATTTTTCTTGGAGCTGCTTTGGATCATAATAAATTTGTGGATTTTCGTTTGTAACATGCTTCAATGAAAAAAGTTTTGAGTGAGAGAAGGGGACGGCTTTTAGGAGGAGCAAACTGGTTTAGTTTTCAATGCACTGGCATTAAGTGTCAGTCTATAACTTAAAATTCTTAAATTTGGTAACTGCATCTATTTTGATTGATTGGTCTTCCATTGTGGTCTAAGGGGTTTTGTACAGGTTTTGATTGGAAGGTTGGCATTTTACTTTAATCTTTATCAAAACTCAGATGATCACATTTGTCATATTTGATAGAATGATTTGGGTAGCGGGATTTTGATTTTTTTGACTGACTTTGAATTATGTGATTATTTGTTGTATGAAAACACAAATTAGATTTGTTTGGTTGTTTGTGTTGGAGAGTTTTCGAGTTTAAATGATATCAGAACAATCTGGAATTAGTTGAATGTTAATTTTGATGAAGCATATCATCACATTGCTCTCTGTAGTTTGAGAAAGGATTGGTATCATCGTTCTTCATGCACTGGCTGCAGAAGATTGGCATCTTTTATGTGTAATAAGAAATCATTCACTTAAACTCATTACATGTTATGAACTGCCTGCCTGCTAACTAGCCATTCACTTATCATAAGTTGGAATTTTGATAGCTGCTTACTCCAGGGCTCCAGTCTTGACAACTAGAATATTTGTAGACTTGATTTCATCCAAAATGCTGACAATGGTGTCAATTTAAACATGTCTAACATTATGTTAGTACTTTTTCATATTTGGTTTTGATTGGTGCTTTCTACAATTTTACATTTCAACAGCTTGGAGTTATTTTTGTTATGTCCTCATTAACTTATGTAAGAGTGAACATTTAGTTTTGTCTCCATTTTTAGGCAAGGATACTCCTAGAGCCTGGATTTGTTCCTGATGATGAAAACCCAGAACCATATGCACAAAGCACTCCCAGTCAATGTCGAGCAGGGTACAGAGTTCAAGAACATGGAACTATGAGCAAAGAAGAATATTTTCGAGTGTTAGATGAGGTGAAGGTGAAAGAACTTGATAAAGAAACAAGCGTTCCTGATGGAGATACATCTTGTCTAGCAACATGTACAACGAGTGACATAGAGGATGATATTTTGAAGGGTTCTTATTCATATGAGGCAGAGGAGGGTGGAGATGATAGAAATGGAGCTCTGACGTCCTGTGTTGGAACTCGATGGTTCCGAGCCCCTGAACTACTCTATGGATCCACTGATTATGGTTTAGAGATAGATCTATGGTCATTAGGCTGCATTTTTGCAGAGCTTTTGACGCTGGAGCCACTTTTTCCTGGAACTGCTGATATTGATCAGCTCAGCAGAATCATCAGTGTCCTGGGAAACTTAACTGAGGAGGTGTGGCCTGGGTGTGTTAAACTTCCTGATTACAGGATAATATCATTTAATAAAGTAGAAAATCCAGTTGGTATAGAGGCCTGCCTGCGAAACCGTTCTCCCGATGAAGTCTCCCTGGTGAAGAAACTTATTTGTTATGACCCAGCTCGGAGAGCTACGACCATGGAACTGCTCCAAGACAAGTATTTCAATGAAGAGCCTCTTCCAGTTCCTCTATCTGAGCTGCACGTCCCTCCCACCAAAGATATGAGTTCTGACTCTCCCGGTGGCTGGCAAGAATACGAAGATATGGGTACAGACTCTGATTTTGACGACTTTGCCCGTGTGAATGCGACTTCCACTTCAACTGGTTCATACATTCAGTTTTCCTGAGTTCAAAGGATAACGGCGATAACAATTGTTCTTGTTATTGTTATTTATTGCTTGGAAGCTTTTAGGGAATCAAAAGTATGGTTTCTTCAAATTTCAGCCTTGTTCGAGTGAAAGTATTATTAGGAGAAACTCTCCCATGTGATGGCTAGTTGTAAAACTCTCCACCCCCAGAATTTTGAATGTCTTTTTTATTTTTTCTACCCTCCTATTAAAATTGTTGGAACTTATAACAGTTGCATTAATCAGCGGCTCAAGATTTTAAAAATAAATCCAGAGTGTTTAGTCACTTTCCACTTGTTTGTAGACTTATATCTATAAATCCCGATCCCCTTTTTTAGCAATCCTCAAGTCAAGCTCTATCCCCCCTTTTTGAAATCTATGCAAGGTGGTAGATTTCAAAATCAAATGGAGAACAATCAATCTTCTTTTCATTTTGGGTTGAAAGCAACAACAATGGATCTTTCTAAACAAAAATCTCAAAAGGACAAAAATGCGAATCAGGATGACACAACCTACCATTGCAGCAATTAACCCACATCAGTTCTTATCTCAAAGATTGCATTGAATTGAAGTATAACTTCGACTCCTTTATCTCTGACAGTACGGAATGATCAAAACAAAAATACCCAGAAGATAATTTGTTGAATTGGATGGATTATTGGGAAACATCTTAGAACCCAGCACATGCTACACAGGAGGAGTTGCTGAGGTCCTCAAGACGCACATAAAAAACACAAGCACTACCAAAAGGACGACAGTAGTTTTCAAATCTATGAGCAGTGCTGCTAGAATACGATATAACCATACTTTTCCTTTTTCTTTCAAGTAAAAGAAGTATCTCCTTAAAAGTGAAGTTCGCAAAACCAGTTCCCGAGGTTTATTTTTCCATTCAACAAATAAACAAGAGCACAAGTTCATATAGAAGAAAGAGAAAACAAAGAAACAAAAACTAAAGATCTATAGCCGGCTTACCGCACCGGCTGTTGATTGTAATGGTTCTTCTCTTTTTTCTTTGCTGCAGCTAGCCTTGCATTCCTAGCAGCAGCTTCACTTGCAGCAGCTCGGGCAGCTGCATCCATTTCTTTGCTTGATTTCTTCTTCTTCATAGATGCCACTTTCTTTAGCCGCTCTTTAACATCTCCAGCAGATGTATTTTCTCCCTTCTCTGTCCCAGCATCGTCATCTGCTGCTGCAACATCGATGCCATCAGGCTGGTCCGGGGATTCTTTTGGCTCCTTCATTGACTTATCCTTCTTTTTCTTCTTTTTTGCACTTTTGCTCTCCCCGGTGGCATTCTCCTTCTTGTCTACCTCGCCATTTAGATTCTCTACTTTCTTCTCTTGTGCAATACCTGCATGGAGAGGTAGGGAAAAATTCAGCCCATGTAAGAAATAACAAAAATCGAACTGATCAAATATGATGAAAGTTGCAAGAGTACATGGATCATTATTCCTTGGAAGAGATCAAATTTGATGAAACGCCCAATAAGTTAAGACAGAGGAGGGCATAAATTAGTTTTACAACCTACTTCTTAACTGGCCAATTATCATATATCAAGATAAGGTATGCGGTTGATATTTAGCATAGTATTTAAGCTTCCGCAAATAGAAACTCATTTTGCAATAATGTTATGAAAAAAATCAGACGATACATACACAATTACTAAACAAGAACTGGCATGCATAATCGTATTCATATAAGCTATATATTACCACTGGAATCATCTTGGCCACCGGTCTCGCTTTTGGCACCGTATCCTAGCTCGGCAAGAACAGCTTCAAGTTCTTCAAGCCCCTTTTTCTTCAGTTCCTTCTTAGAAAGCTGCCTTTCAGTATCCTTAGGAGCTGGAGAAGCTTCAGGGGGCTTCTTAAGTGGCTCAGTTTCCACTGGTGCTTCAAGTTCATTTTCATGTTCCTCGTCGACATCATCAACTTCATCAAGACCTTCCTCCTCGCTTTCACTTACCTGGAATCCGGGATAAATATAAGAATTAAACAATCCAACTAGAGGAATAGTACTCACTCAAATGCTTTATGATATTCAAAAGTATAACACTGACATCTTAGGTTTAAAGACTGATGGAGTTAGTTGACTTTACGAAAAGATAAATGATTGTTACATTACGTTAATAGAGAAGCATAAGTACCATTAGAAGAATACACCCACACGGACACATTCCAGTTTACGGTTATCTACTTGATTTTCTTTGGTTATATCTGGGATACACACTGAGTTTTCACAATGAAACCATACAAGCTACTTGCAAACCTATCACTTTGCCTTATAAAAATATGTTTTCATAACAGAAATCAATTTATTATATTACCATAATGAAAGCAACAAAAGATAAATTTCATTGCATCCACTATAGAAGGAGAATCATTTCCACGAGATGCAGGTAGACGTGTGGGTGAGGTTTCTGTCTCACGACAATGTATACGTGTTGAAAGGAAACCGATCATGGATAAGCCATGGATACCGACAAAGGATATAGCTATTTTCTAACAGAATAATGGCAATTCAATTCCAAGAAATGCAGGTACACGTGCGGGTGAGGTTTCTGTCTCATGACAATCTAGTCAAGATAGCAAAAAGACAAAATCAAATGTCTCCACAAAAGCCACCAAAACCAAGTCATAACATCAAAGATGCATAACTTAACACGTGCACACAAAACTGAGTAGATGATAAGCCTTTACAGGTAATGCAATAACGTTTGGACTTTAAAATATTCGCATCTACTACCGTTAAATGAAATTATTGAAAGAATGATACAAACTAGATAAGGATTCCACAAAATCAACAGATATGAATATCAATAAATTCCATAAGTCCTACCAAATGTTATCATCAAAATCCTTTCAGTAATCATCATCTTAATCATTCCAAAAGTAGAAAAAACTACCAAATGTAATTGCTTCAGCAAACATCAGTGATATTACAAACCAATCCTCAGTATTCACAGTTCCTACGACTTGTTTTCCTCATTAAATCTCCATATGTGTTGTCAAGTCAATTTGCAAATACCAATTAAACAAAACTAAGCAAAAAAGCACCTCCTTTTACAGCTGCATCATGAAAAGGACCGATCATTTCCTATAACAGAAATAGATACATTCCCGCACAAATGCAATGCATGCTTTCCAAGTTTAGCACTATCCAAAATTAAGATCATGATGCAAAAAATGAGGCCAAAAAATATACCAGTTCACCGACTTCCACATGCTCAGCTTCATGCGCAGTCTCCTTGGCCACCTTTGAATCCTCACCGGCCCAGCCCAATTCGGGCGGAGCTGTAGTTGCATAGTAGTCGTTTCCAAGTTTAGCACTATCCAAAATTAAGATCATGATGCAAAAAATGAGGCCAAAAAATATACCAGTTCACCGACTTCCACATGCTCAGCTTCATGCGCAGTCTCCTTGGCCACCTTTGAATCCTCACCGGCCCAGCCCAATTCGGGCGGAGCTGTAGTTGCATAGTAGTCGTCGTCATCCTCGTCATCGACATCGGCCCACGATTTCACGTTGAGGGGCGCAGGGGCCCAAAACACCTCTTTTTCGGCCTCGTCAGGATTCTGAGCTGTGCCGCTTTTCGAGCTCTTGGAGGAACCCTTCTCGGACTTCTTCTTCTTCTTCAAGCTCCCGAGCGCCGCAAACACGTTGGTGCTATTCAGAACCACAGACTCGTCCTTTCTGTTCCCGCCTCCCACCATTTCTTAACCCAGCGTAAGTCTAGACTTACCGAGCGTTGCCAAACAGCAGGTTTTTTGAAGTTACGGTTTCGTGACGAAGCTCAGGCGCGAGCTGGAGGGCAAAATCGGAAATGGGAGAGGGAAAAGATTAGGGTTTGGGAGGATTTTGATTCTCAGATTGCTGTTGAGGTTGGTGAGGATCTGAGAACGGGAGAGCTGAAATGAAACGAATCGTTTTGGTGAACTCGGGTGACGAGTGAAGAGGGTTAGCAGAGTCTCCTCTGAGAGACAGCTAGAAAAATCCTGCGAGGCTTTCGTGACGACGAGTGAGGAGGAGGAGGAGGTGGCTTTATGTATAAAATGTTGCGCTGGTTGAGTTTTTCAACCAACATTACATGGCAAGGGTGTGTGAATCTGTGATGGGCTTATAAAAGAAAAATAAAAAAATAAAAATAAAAATCTAATTCTGGGCTGTGGATGTGGGTGAAGCCTGACCGTCGGATGTGTCCGTGACCAAATTTTGATGGGCGGTCGTGATGGTTTGGTTTGGCGTGGGGCCCAGTCTGCCTGGGTTTTTTCTTTTTTTCTTTTTTGCGGAGGATTTTTCATGTGTGGAGGGAGAGGCGAGGATAAGAGGCATCTGGCGTGGCTTCCATGCACATGATTAGGACCCACTTGTTGTAACTGATCCATAAGGGTTCGTTTCTAAGTTTTGTTTGTACCAAAAGCCTTTCCATTGTCCATGTTAAAACAGTCCTCCTTCATTTTAGGGCTAATTTTAGTAATTACATTTATTTTTTTATGCAGTATAATATAAATATTTTTGTTCCGTTCGGGTTTCAGTAGCATTTCTTCTTTGTCGACAATATTTTTGTTCCGTTCGGGTTTCAGTAGCATTTCTTCTTTGGATGTCATGATTTTTGTTCCATTGTGGTAACACAAATGTAGGTTGAGAAAAGATAAATGTTTTTCAATTCATTCTCCGAAAATGAAAGATTACAATTAAGATATGGCTTTCCTTTTCAAATGAAATATTATAATTAAGATATGGCAGTATTTACATTCTTTCTCAATCAACGGAATGAAACTTGAACTCAAAATCTCTTCCAAAACTAGAAAGAAGGTCAAACCAAGTTCAACACAACATATTCAAGTCTAAATTATGAATTCAACACGATCGAGTCCGAGTAAATCTTAACCTAAATCAATCCACTCTAAATAACTGACCAATCAATAGTGACAAACTTGCTATTAGAAAAGAAGCAGAGTATAAACGAATATGAAAACTTGCTTGCTTGACCCGGAACTAGAAAATTCAGAAGGAATCAATTGTCATTTTCAGCTGAAAAGGATACAATTTGTTCAAATTCAAGTAGAAATCTAAATCGAATTACAAAAGACCAAAATAAGTTGAAATGGAAGTGAAATCAAGATGAAGCAAGGGGTGCACTGTCAAACGTTGTCCCGACATGTTGAATAACAAATCCATAGATCTTCCTCTTCAGCCTGTCAACCTTTTCATTCATTTGCTCATCCCTCTTTGACACAACTCGGTCCAACCACTCATTCACTCGTTTCAACTGTGATAAAACAGCTGCAATGGAGCCACAGTCGAGAGGCAATTTAACACCATCTGCGGCACACTCTCCAAACACCCGAAAACCGGCATCCAGGGCCTTCTCAACGAACTCTAGAAACCACATTTGCATCTCGGACTGCAGACTCATTGCAAGCTCAACAGTATCTTTCATGCCACGACCCTTTGTCCACGTCCCAACATGAGCATTGGACTCTGGTGAAGAAGATGAAGAAGAAATCTTCATATGGGTTTTGGCAGGTGCATTGAGAGATTGTCGTTTTGACAAACTTTTCTGCAGGGTTGATGGAGGCTCATTGTCTTGGGTGGTAAGAAGAGAGACAACCCCAAGATCAGTAGCTAAGGCAGCTTCAACCCAAAGCGAAACAGATTTTGATTGCTCTGTTGGAATGTTGTCATTATAAGGTGTATCAGCATTGTGGTTGCTGGCAGTTGATTGAACAAGTGTTGTTGATTTAACAACTTCGTCGTAGATTGAAAAGAACCGGTCAATGGCGGGCAAAGGGTTCCCAACCTTGGATGTGGAAGATAGTTCTGCAAACATGCTGAGATAGACAAAGGAGAATAAAATTCAAGTTCACATCAGTCACTAGTGATGAATGGTGATTATACAGCAAATGCACTCTCTTCAATGAATTCAAAGGCACACCATCGCAATGATCATATTACCTTAATTTCCTCACAAGAGATTCGGTAGCAATGGCCTCCTCCAGGGCTTCAGCTGCAGCAGCAGATGCAATAACTTTCCTTTGCAAAGCCTCCTGCAATTAGATATGGTTTAGAATGAATTCATATCAATAACTAATCCTTCTGTTTCAATGACAAAATTTATGTCTAATTAATGCATCTTATGCCCAATACATTCCAAGATTAAAACCCCACCATTACCTTTCCAAGCCTTGCAAGGTCTGAAGAGACTGCATCAAGTGAAACACTCCCATCAGTCCATTTTCTTTCATGAACAGTGAAGCCCAGAGCTGTACAGCTTGGTTTCTCTTGAGCCAGGCAATCTTCAGGTGACCCAGATTTTGTTTTCTCATCGCTGGAAGAATCATCACCGCCACTAGGACTTCGACCATGAGCATCGCTCAATCGTCTCGAAAGGGCAGCCTGCAAAGATAGAAAGAATCAGGAAATCAGAATATGCAGAGCCATAAGCAAAATATTAAAAAAATGTCATTGCAATGCAAATTAAGGAAAAAACTACCTGAGTCCTTAAAATTGCTTGAAAATCTGGTTTGTTCTTGGACACAGACTTCTCTCTTTGCTCTACTGCCGGCGACTCATCCCAGCCCTTCCTGTTACTCTTTCCAGACCCAACAAGGGCTTCAGAAACCTTAGAAATCCCTGCAACGATAGTTGCCATCTTCTTCCTGTTAGCTGAGTCCTTCACTCCCCCAGACAACCGTCTACCGGGAGAAAGCGAAGCCCTGCGGGGATTTGGAGATGGCTGCCTCCGCCCAGTCGGAGATGGCTGACGGTACCTGGACGGTACTATAATCGCAGGCTCCTTAGACACCTTGCGGTTCTCTTCCTTTGCCACAACTAAGCTCGGAACCACGCATTTTGAAGGCGCCGGAGATCCCGATCTCTTTCCTTTTCCGGCGGGTGACGGATCTCTCTCCGCCGGCGCCACATTCTTCTTCCCAACGGACACCGACCTCTTTGCACCGGCCGGAGATGAAACCCTTGAAGCCGGCCGTTCTGAGATCTTCTTAGGCTCATCCGAATTTGAATTTGAATTGGAATTCCCACCCAAATTCACGTTGTCTCGAGGAGCAAGAGGCTGCCTCGATGATCTTGTCTTCTCAATCTTGGCTTCCTTGTTGTCATTCCTAACAACTTGCTCCTGCTTCTTATTGGATAAGTAAATCGCCATGAAATCGGTGGACTGGTCGGAATCCGACACGGGCTGGATCACAAACTCGCGTTTTGAGGCGGAGATTCGAGCAACGAGAGGCTCTGGGGTACCGACGAAATGGTGGCGGCCGGCAATGGGGCGGATTCCGACAACGCGAGGAACAGGGGAGTCGAAATCGAAGCGGTCAACATAGGCGAACTGGCCAAGCTGCAACCGGTTGGTGAGGATGAGGTCGGTGTCACGATCAGAGAGGGAGACGTAGGTGGAGTTGAGGGAGTCGGAGAGCTGAACATAGAAGCCCTGGTTAGGCCAGAGGTCGGAGCCGGCGAGAGCAGGGACGATGCCGATGACTTGGAGGAGAGCCGAACGGTGGTCGCCGGTGACTTTGGTGGCGGAGTTCATTGACTGGAGAAGCTTCAGGAGGATCCCTGGCGTGAGGGACGCCATTGTTAAGCAGCTCTGTGCTTTGTGTGTGTGTGGGTGGCGAGGAAGAAGACTGAGAGAGGAGAGAAGAATATAGATGGAGAGGTTTGAGTGAATGTGTGAGAAAGAGCATTGGCTACTGAAAAGGGGGACCCAGTAGCTCATTTGGCCGTTACGAGATTTCAAATTCAAATTCCCGCTAACTGTTTAATATTACTATTACCATTGTTTGAATTTAGGTGCTACGTTACCGTTACGTTATCCCTTCCCTATCTATCCATCCCAATTGAAAAAAAAGAAAAAAGTTAGAGAAATAGAGAAAGGTTAACTTCCAGTAGCAAAATCCCACGTCATATGGTTCCAATCCCAAACTTTTCATTTGACATTAAATCGAAATCATTTTTGTCTCTTTACTTTCCCACACTTCCATTAAACATAAACAATCTGGGCCAAAAATATTTGTTCTGTTCTGTTGTATGCAACTAGCAAGTTAGCAGTATACACTACTACTAGATGCCTGCGAATTGTGAAAGTCAAATGTTTCATAAGCGCATACATCTGTTTGATTTGGAACAATATTACCATGCACAACAGCTAGCCGGACCTCTACTTTAAAGAATGTGGAGAGGCAGGACGCAAGTGCCTCAATGGGATGTTGAGTCACTCTGCAATAAAAACTGCACACAATATACAATATGCAGCTATAACTCAGGTCCGCATACAAACAATCGTTCGCAAAGAGTGAAAATTTGGATGCATGATTCTCGTTGCGTGCAACGTATGTAGGGAAGTTGATTTCCTTAAGGTGGTGCAGAGTGGTAACTGCAACTCTAATGAGCTAAGTCCATTCATTGTCATGAATATTTTCAAAACTACATTGTTCACTAATCAGGAATACAATGTAATCCAAGAAAAATTGTCAAAAATACTTTACACTTTCTATCACAATTCACATGTAGTCCATACATGCCATCTTTCGTATTTCAAATAACAGAAAATACAATATCAATACAACTTTAGTATAGAAAGGAAAATATCGCTTTGTTACTTTCCTTTGCTTTGTATAATTTTTATTCATCCTTATGCAGCAAAAAATAAGAAAAATATAAGAAAAACAATAAGTACAAAGAATATCTTGATCATTAGCCATCGGTTGGATGATATACTGCTAAAGTACCTGGCCAGTTGCCCTTGTGCTCCTTCCACATTGGCCAGTGTGTCGTCCATATTCTCATCAATCCTGCCAGCCACAGCCCCAATATTGAGTATTTAACCAAAAAATTATTCTACAAGCTTGTGTTTTCTGTTAGTGACGAAAGGTGAACCCATCCAAGTACTTTAACATGACTGCTAAACAAACCTGATTGCAAGCTCTCCTTGCTGAGAAACCATGGTTGCCAATTGTGTGAATATGCCACCCAGCTCATGAATTGTTGACTCCACGTTGTGAAGAGCTTCAGCTCGGCTCTGCATATAGCTGTCTTGTTGTTCTACCTGTTGTTGCTGCTGTTGCAGTAATGGCCGAGATTCCATCTCTGTCTGCTTCCTGAAGGAAATATGAAACAATGCCATTGACATCTAAATTGAAGTCGTGGATCTAGGATATATGATTCACTACAGGCAGCATTAGGAAGATGACAGGCACTATTTCTCTCCAAGTTCCAAAATGAAAGGGAGCAATCAAAAGGTTCCATGTAACAAGTACACTGCTTAGCGAGTCATGGTTAACAATGGGATTAATATAGCACTGGAAGTTATAAAAAGAACAATAGGCATGAATTTGAGGCTGAGGCTCCTAATAAGAACTTGCCTTTAGAATATAACAATATGGTTACAATAACTACTTCTGTAAAACATGCTGATGCCTAGTGTAGTGGAAATTTACCTAGGAAATAACTGTGACGAAGAAGACGCAGAATCATTGGCCCATGGAGGAGGAGCTGCCGATGCATTAGCAGCTGATCTGGCAGCAACTGGACGTTGGCGAACAAACGGATTTGTTGACTCTTTTGAAGTGCTTGAAGAAAACAATTGCCTCCTATTTTCATGAACCTTTAAATTCTGCCATATATAAACAAGAAACGTTGAACTTCGTATTCTAGTAAAATAATAAAGCTCATCAGACAACCATGTGCAGGGACATACAATATACCTCTGTCCGCATGGTGAGCACTTCTTTAAACTCCTTCGTGGTGCTCATTAGTCGGTTCTTCAGGTTATCTACAACCGTGGTTGAATGATTTGTGGTGTCACTTGAGATGTTTCCACTTTCATTTTGGGAATTGCAGGCCAGCTGCAGATCTATCACTGCTGAATTAAGTCCAGTAATATCTTGCTTTATAGCTGATGTCAGCTCTTGGATCTCCAGAGCTGGATCATCAAACACTGATGTCCTTTTTGCCACTGAAAAATATCAAAGCAATACTTGTGTTTCAACATGGGTTGCTCCAAATATCAGCAAGGCTCTCCATTTATGTAAACAAATCACAAAACAATACTAAATTATTGATCATCAATATTTAAAGAATAGATACCCCCATTGTTATACAACCATGAATTACTGGGTCATTCATATTCTAATTCCATCACAAACCTTTGGTTAGCATCCTGTCTCAGCATAATTAATTAACACTAATCAAAGCATATATGTATAAAGAACAATTACAGATCAAAATTTACACATCCATTTTGACAGTGTGATCTCTAAAACACGAAACAAAACTAATTAACTTGTATAATTTAACATAATCAGAGATTAAGGAAAATTTTGGCAAATAGCATGGATTTTACATACATTGTGCGAGCTTGGTGAGCTTGCGGGAAGTGTGGTGAATCCCAAGCCCAATCTTGGAGGCCCTTTTGTTGAACTCCGATTGAATCGAAGCCGCAGATCGAGGTCCGTCGAGTTTCGCGCCACTATTGCTACTCGATGCTGGGCCATCGTTGGCTGGCGTCGAGAAGGAGGACTTTCGATGCCTCTCTGTTATGCTCAGAAACTCCTGCGTTCGATCTCGGAACGACGATTGCCCCGATTTTCCATGCATTTCTATATTTTTATTCACTGATTTGTAACAAAATTTATAATGAAAAAGAAACTTTTTGTACAAATTCTACTTCAACGCTCTGTAAAGCTCAGAAACTCTGTATTATATTATGAATGGAATTGATAAAATTAGATGCAAAGATTGGGTACTCTGAAACACAGGAGGCCCTTGAATTGGATCATGGTGGTGAAAATTTTCGCACTTTTTTTATTGAAGGAGTTTTTTATTTTTTTCTTTTGGGCAAAATTTTTATTAAATGAGAGAGAAGGAAAGGAAATGGGTGAAAAACAGTAAATAAAATTCAGTCTTAAGAGAACTTTTTTTTCTCTTGAGAGAAAGACAGAGAGCGGCGTGAGGAGATGAGGAATAACAAAATTGAAGCTTCCTTTCAAGTTCAACCTAGGTTAATTTTTTAACGAAAATTACAAAAATGCCCTTGCTCCTAACGGGTGTAACGGGTTCACCCGTTTTCGACCCAACACGACCCGTTAGCTTAACGGGTGGCTAACGGGTTCACCCGTTTTCAACCCGACCCATTAAGCTCAACCCAAATACTGATAATTTCGTGCGAATTCGTGTCGTGTTAACGGGTCGTGTGCAATATTGCCAGGTCTACCTATGATATATGACACATGTAATTATCTATTAATAATAGGGATATCCTTAGACTGGGAAAGTACCGACAATGTCACTTGCCCGTATATAACACGTGATGGTGTGACAATCGCATTCAACTATTTTACGTCTCTCCCATTTGTGTGATACTGTCGGTATAGGAATAGGATCAAGCAACTCCAAAGCCATAGGAATATGACTTAAGATTTAAACATATGAATTACTGCAATGCATTATCAACATTAGAGAAAGAATTTAAGAAAGAAATGAGCAAAAACTTTCAACTTGGGATTGGGAACCATGGATTATGCCAGAACAATCTGCTTTACAAGGTGTAAGCTATCATACTATAACATGTTTGATGTTTTGCTATAGCTAGGTTTCATGGCTTCCTAAAGAGCTTATGTCATAGCAGAATCAAATACAACAGATATCCTCCAACAATTTTCATCACCATGTGTGCAAGGCCCCTGCTAGGCAACACTGAAGGACCACCATAAGAAATCATCACTGGAAACTGGCAGTCCCCAACAGAAGGATTTTCATCAGTCACCACAGCCAAACCAGAGAAATCACACGTCCAGCTTTTCTGGCTATTCACCTGGTAATACATGTTAAATGCATAAGAAGCATTTCCTTGGAGGCTGAGATTATTGCAAGAACACCCATAACCCAAAGCAGTACAATCTGAGAGGGTACAAGCAAAGTCGATGCTTTTTGCCAAGACCTCCAAATCTTTAGCATCTTTGTCCAAAACACACCACCTCTTCAGCATATAGTCTACATCTTCCACAGCTGCAAGGCCTTTGTTTTCAAGAGAGCCTGTCAAATCCAAATTATACTTTGGCTTCCCATCATACTCAAATAGCCCCCAGTGCCTTTCAAAGTTTCCAGGAGCAATGCTTTTCGCATCTTCATCGATGAGGCTGAATAGATAGACATCAATTTTTCCTTTCCTTGCTGGGGTTCCATTTCCACTCAGGGAATGTTGAATCATTCCCTGGTTAAACCTCTTGGCATTTCTTATATTGGCATTTATGTCACCATCAGTTGGCCAGCCCACCTCTCCAACCATGATCTTCATCTCAGGGAACCCAGCTTTGGTCAGAGACCAAACGAGGGTGTCAAAGTTTGCATCAAACACATTGGTGTACAGTAGATCACCATCCTTAATGGGCTTGCTTGTTCCATCAAAGAAAGCAAATCCAAAAGGAAAATATGTATTGCCATAGAGACTGAGAAAAGGATAGATATTGACTGTGAATGGAGCATCATTGGTATGTAGGTATTGGATGATCTCAATTAAGGAGTCTCGAATTTCAGGCCGGAAGTCACCTGTAGATGGAACTGGGTCTGAGTCAGGGGAGAAGTAGATGTCGGCGTTGAAGGGGACCGTGGCTTTGACTTGTGACCCAAGTCCTGCATTGTTGAGGGCTTCTTGGATGTTCTTCAGAGCGGGTAATGTGGTTTTTAGATAGGTGCCATTGTATGTTTTAAGGAAGGGTTCATTGCCTACAGCAACATACCTGCAAACTCAATTGTCATAATAATTTTAGCATGTTCAAGGAATTCCTTAACATCATTCAGACATAATTGGAAACAGGTAACAGTCATAGTAACAGTACAAGAAGAGAGAGATAGAAAGCAAGGAAAACAAGCAACACCTCCAGAATCATGGGGGGAAAGAAATGAACTTCCCCATGATTTTACAGAAATTGAAGATAATCAACTGACAGTGTTTTGACTTTTGAGAGTGATAAAAAACGAACCACTTAGGAACATAATGGCATAAAAAGAAAGAGTAAGAATTCGAACACATTGCAAAAATGGGTTGAAAATTAATCAAGAAATTGTGTGACTCAACTTGATATTGACTCCACCATTGTAGCAGTAACTGGTGACATTGGCATCGACCCAAGTAGCTGCAGCAACAGGATCTTGGCTCATCTCTTGCAACATGACATTGGGTACGGCCAGCATCACCTCAATCTGCGTCCCCATAAGAGCAGCTAATATTTTCTCTTCAGCTTCGAACAACTTGAGTTTATTGAACCCATTATCCTTCAGCATTTTGACCACCTTTTCTGGTGGGAGCTGGTGTGTTGCCATTGTTCCCCAATTGACCCCAAAGCTCGTGCCTTTTTGGGCCATGTTCATCAACACCAGAATTAGTACTGATATTTCCCAATAGACTCTTTCTTGTGCCATTCTCATTTTCTTTGGAGCTAATCTTTAAAATGGGTTTTTTTTTCTTCTTCTTGAATCTGAATCTTTTTTGAATGAAGCAAAGAATCAAGAAAGATTTGAGGGCTCCAATGATTGAGGGACGCAGGGAGGAAAGAGAAAGGAAGAGGGGAATTCTTTTGGTTCTTTGTTCAACAATATATAGAGTGCAAAGTGGTAACTCTCTCTCTCTCTCTCTCTCTCTCTCTCTCAGGAATTTCAGTGTTAGGCTTTAGAGAACTTTGATGGGAAAAGCGAAAAAGAAATGGAAGATTCGTTCCTTAATTCAGTTATTCAGTTATGGTGGCCAGCCCATGCTAATTGTTTTCCAACTGAATAATATTATTATTCAAATTAATATTAATATGAAAAATATTATGTTTGGCCTGTCCAAAAAGAAAAATGCCAACTTTGGGAAGGGAAATGGGAACATGAAGACTTATTATCCAAGACCAAGACCAAGACCAAGGAGCAAAGATAGTGAGTGACCATCCATGAGAAGAAAACCATTGACTGATCTTTTAAGCAAACTTAAAGAGAATACTCCAAAATGCCAACTTTCCAGCCAAAACCTACGTGTTCATTTTTGCATCAATTTGCAGGCTCCTCCTTTGCGTTTGCTTTTATTACGTGAAAGTTTGACACTTTATCGTCACAGAAAAAGGGATAGCTAGCATAAGTGCCATTCCAAAGAAAAAGGATGTCTTTTAGTTTTTCTTATCAGGAAAATGCTACATTCACACAAGGTACTACAACTTCCCCGATACACCCGTCGTCGTAGGTTCCACTCGTAGGAGTTTAGGGCCTGCGCTGGGGACACTTCAAGTATATTAATGGAGTTCAAAATCACATTTTGATGTTGAAGTTTCCAAGAGATGGGCATAATTTGAATTTGTTAGGGCAATGCCAATGGGAAGCATATTCTTCCCCTTCATCCTGAACCCTACATACACAAAAGGTGAAAGATTGCTTGTGAATTACTCAGATTTTGTTGCCTCCCTTGTCCCTACAGCTTCAGTCTTTGAGACCAGTCGTATAAAATGAAAGGAAAGTGCCTCTTTTTCTTTTTCCTTCCTTCTTTTAATTAGAAGTTGTATTGAATTATGATCTAGAAACTTACATGAAAGTTATGTGCTTTAGTCACGCGTAACAATAACACACACTAACTACTGTCCCCATGCACAAACCATGAAATTAAACGAGTGTTCTTAACCACTCAAATTATAAACCCCTTGCCAGATCTGATCTTTTTGTTTCACTCGGTGGTTAAAAAAAAGCACTCAAAACCTGTTATAATCAAAAGATATGAAGGCTACGACTGTCATACTGACTTTTCACATATCAGATTTTGGTGATATGCCCTGATCAACCAATACAGTACAGATTGTATGCAAAAATTACAGAACGATGAATTTTTTTGCAAAATGGAAGGTTTCAAGTGCTTTAACAGACAGCAGTTGCTCGTATAGTGCAGGGGATTGGCTTTCTTAGCTCTCAAAAGGAAGAGGCCCATTCGCGCAACTCCCTCTCCCTCAGCAGAATGAGAGACTCTGGCATCTTAAATAAGGCACCCTTCTGGCAGCCTAAAGCTTAAGCAAAACATTGCCTGTGAGATATTGAAAGATCAGAAGACTTCAAGACAGTTAGTATATATCCACTATAGGCATATTTGTATATATCCACTGTAAATAGTTCCAAACGTCAATACCTTGTTTGGAGCGACATCCCTAACCCTATGAAATATTGGATCTTTTATATGGGCATTCAAACCGGACTCTGCCACCTGCATATAGTTGGAAACACAGGTTATGAGAGCGCAAAGGTGTTAGAAGAACTGGAACATGTATACAGCAGATTACTACACTGTCTCATTTGGGAAAAGGTCAATTTTGATCAATCAAAAGCCAAGTGCCTACGCTACCAGTACACGTCAAAGACCTTAGAGACATTACCAATTAAAGGACTTTTGTAATTATCAGAAGCTTTTAGTTAGATTTAATAGCCATACAGATAAAACTTACTGAAATAATAGATTCTTGCGTTTCATTGGCCCTTATAAAGCAATAGCAGTGAATCCAAGGAAGAGATCCCGTCCAATACTTTCTCTGGATCAGACCCCTAAATGCATCTGAATGAAAATGTATGCAGATATTAAAAGCAAATTCACTTGTCTTACTTCTACTATTTGGTTCAAGCAGAGATTTACTGAGGCAATGGTATTTGTACTCAATCAAAAAAGGATGTAAATCCCAAGGGGTATAGATAATCAGATTCAAAACCATCCACAAAAGGCATCTGTACCTAGAAATTCAAGAGCAGAAGCAGGTAGATTCATTATCACATGATCAACATGCTCCCAAGTCTTAACATCGGAGATCTCAGGGCCTCTCATTCTCTTAGTCTTGCTTCCTTTTCTCCTATCAGCTACAAAAGCACTAGTGCCATCAACACCTTCATTCTCTGCAAAGGGAAATGCAAGGGAAATAACTTAGCAATCCCAACCAAAATATATATCAATCAAAATGACATTGTACATGCAATTATTTGGAGAGGAAGGAAATCAGGTATGCATCTAACACCAACATAAGGATACTTAAACCTTATAAATAAACCAGGAAGCAGTAATGATTGCATCAACTTCAGTGATGACCAAACACATATTTGTGGTGACCATGATACCTGATTGACAGCTATCTGAAGGTCTTTTAACTGGAGGTACTGATGAATCAGCATTCCTGCTGGAAGCTTGTAAAGCGTCCAGATTACTAATAACAGTATCTGGTACTTCTTTCACCCCAACTGTGAGAAACTGAAGATTAAGAAAGTTGCAAGTAACAGTTCACGCAAACTGAAAGATCGCAATATTTTCACATGTATATTACCAGCTAGCCTTCCATTTTCAGATTTTGGTTCCTGATTGCCCTGAATGTCACATTTCTCGCCAGTTTTCAGCATGGAGATATCAGAATCTGATTTTTCATCGCTGTTGGGCACTTCCATCAATTGAGAAATAAATTTTCTTGCATCAATATTGTATGCACGAACACGATTATCAACCTTGTTTGTTTCTGCATTGATCTTCAGATAATGGATGCTATCCGGATTTAAGTCATTTGCATACACTATGCATCCCTTCTGTGCTGCAGGGATAGCAAAAGGGCCAATACCAGCAAACATGTCACATATGATTTCCCCAGCTTGAAACTGAGAAACCAACCTTATATGTTCATGCTCCAATCTTGAATTCCAATAGACCAAGCTGTAATCAAGCTTGAAAGTCGCTCCATATTGTTTCACTTCTGTAACCGTATCATCTTCCCCTGCTAAAACTTCAAACTTTGGCACACGGAACTCATTTTCAATCGTTCCGACTTTATTAACAATTGTCTTGATTCTAGGATAATTTTTCTGATAATACAAAAAGGCCAAACAAGACATAAGTATGTATAAACATACCAACATGGTACATTTTCTTATGATTTAAAAAATTGCATATATAAAGAGAATGCAAGTGTCAACACTAAGCTTACAACGACAAAAGTTCCAAAACAATAACCTTGCAAAAACAACAAGGCCTTGCAAGAACAAAATGAAAGAGTAAAAGTCCAGCTGTGACAAACAAAACATTTTAACAGTATATATCAGGGAACACAATTTATGCAGATTATGAGTTAAAAATGAAGCTAGGTCAATATTGAGGCCAGAAGCAAGTGAAACATACATCATAGATAACTTTTGCAATGACATCCTTGTAGGGGAGTAATTCGTCATGAATATTCAGGTGGGCAACATGACCTGCATGAGCATGAAGTAATGTTAGTCCAGCATCAGATATCAACACGGTTAATCCTTGTATACTAAACTGATAATAAACACTAAACAAAGATTATCAAGTTTTGCGCAGTAAGTTAGGATTGTAAAGCTATATAGAAAATGTGCAAGAAGTTGGCAACTTTGAGTATGAAGACAAACACATAATGAGGAAAAAATAGAATCATGAAGAGAGTACTTAACTATAGTTTCAAAAGATGAAGGAACTTCCACTCCAGGAGGCAGAATCTGCTTCAATATATGGTCTGAAATCATAACAATCAGTAAGAAATTTTAACATCATTGAACAAATACAGGGTCAAAAATTCAAAACCTATCAGTTAGAAACTTTGTATGCAATGCAAGAGTGGGGGTGAGTGTGTAGGAGGTTATGCAAAAGAAAGAGATTAATGAAAAAGATACCAAAAAAGCATCAAATCGACCTGCACCCCAATATGAGTATCCAAGTGTCAACGAATATGGAACCACTTCAATCTTGCATAAACCCTTTAGTTCATCGAGATTTTTTTCAGGAATATTAGATAGGTCTGCCTCACACAAAGAAAACTTTCAATTAGTGACAAAAATGCACATAATACACAGAGACCAAGTGTAATGAATATAATTATGAATACAAAAATTTGAAAACTTGTTACCAGAATCTTGGACCCTCTCAGATAATATCATGTAACGGTTTTTTTCGCATGTTGGGTCTTCGGTAATCGGTTTTATGCGGGGTTTATCAAGCAAATATCTGCAAATAAAATACCATCCAACTTATATAAACTATTACCATACAAAGCATTGCATTGGCAGCTACACACAGAGAGATGGAGACTTGCAGAGTTACCCATTTAGTATGCGAGTGGCGACCTTGCAAAGCTCACGAGGGATCCGAAGTGCCCACAGTTTCAAATGCACATCAAATTTACTTTCATCCAACATTTTCCTCTCTTTTTTTGTAGAAAAAAAAAATGCCTAAAATTGAAGCATGAACTTCAATGTTAGTATCTAAAGAAAAAGGGAAAGTGGAAGCCAGAGTTTCTTAGACCATCGGCTACTGCAGTAGGCTGCAGATTGTTCCGAAAGGGATTAGGGTTCAAGCGGTTCAAATGGCGGGGGGAAAACTATCCTAGTACGGCGTCGTTGCCGCGAAGAGGTTTCCGGGATCCTACTCGAACTAAATGGGCCCAATTTGAAAATGAGCAGCCCATCTAATTCACTGAATTGGCTTTATTGCAAATGTGAGAGAAGATAAATGATGTAGGCGGCTGCGTCCAAGTTTTTCTCCCACACCAATTCATCCATAAACCTATACAGATGCAAATTAATTATATAAAAAAGAGGATTTACATATTAGGAAGACTAAAATACCCTTAAAAATGGATGGAAAATTGGATGATGTTAAAGTTTGGTGACAAATCATGGATTTTTAAAACTTAAGATGATATTTTGCTTAAATTTTTCTTTAAGGTGATAAATTGAAATTGATGTATAAGTTCAGGTGACATTTATACAAAAATCTCTTTTTTTCTATACATTAATATTGAGAGAGCGCATATATGAACTTTGAACACATGATTTCGAATGCAATAGTAATTACTCTTAATCACTTGAGCTAAAAGTCCTTACATTAAAATTTTAATATATTATTATTAGGTACAACTATGAAGTTTCCACTACCATATATAATAAGAATATCTTATTTCTGGACAATGTGTAATCGAAATCGTTCAATTTTTAGCTTCTTTAAAGGATAATTCATGTGAATAATAAAAATACATTGTTGAATATCCATGAGAAAGTAGGGTCTTAAAATATAATTGCACCCTCTTTCTGCTTGCTGACTTTGGTATAATATTATATAGCCGCTCAACCAATATATCCTTTTCCCATCTTATAAGATAGCTTGATGGATTACAATAGCTCAACTAATAAATGTACCAATTTTATTCATTCACAAATTGACATTTGACGTAACTTCCACCAACCAAATTACACTTTATGCATTTTGGAGCTGGTACTTGCTCATATTCTATGATATATGGGGCTCTTTCGGGTTAGAATTGGAGTAGATAAGTCATTAAATTTAGGGTATATTAAAGGGAAAAAAAATGAAGGTAAAGGTAAATGATTTTTTCATTTTGGAGATTGGGGGAATAAATTATAAAGTCATTTTGTGGGGATTAAATGAGATAAGTTTGCTTCATGAATAATAATCCATCTTCTACCTTCAAGGTGGTACTTGGTCAAAAAAATTTCATTTCTTCTTTTGACATGCTTCATAAGTAAACCACTCCAAGGCACTAAACGTGGCCATGATGTATGAAATACTTGCATTTTTCACTCCAACAGAAACATAAAAGGAAAAGAAGAAGAAAAAGAACCAGATATTCAATCAAGCAACACAAATAATAGTAAATGAGTCACTGTTTTCCATTTGGTATTTCTCCTTTCAATCTTTGAATATGTACATGGATTCACATGAAGCAAAAGAAGCAAATCTAAGGTCAAAAATACAAAGACTCATTCTTTTGCTTTGGTGTATAATTTTGGCCTTGCCCTTGAAAACTTGAGTCCTTGACCCAAAAGCTCTATCACCAACCATGCTTCCCTTAACCGCAGCTTTTCTTCCTCGGCTTTCACTTTGAACTCTTGGAGAACAGCACAAGCAATAAGACTATGCCACGTGGACCAATCAATTTGGAAAATTCTTGGAGCTAGCTAGCTCTGGCTATTGGCTAATCTGATATGGAGTGGTCGTGCCAGCAGAGGAGCATCGAAACGCAGCGTCCGAGGATGTAGAACCGGGTCTTTTGGTGCTTCGCCATCATCAAGCACCGCTTTCGAAACCCCATTTTCCGGTGGCTTTTCCGGCGGACTCGGCGTGTGACTTGGTTTTGGGGAAAATTAGAACTTGTCATGGAGAATTGGCGGCGGCGAAAATCGGGAGGAAGGAAAGACGAAACTAAAGAGTTATTAGTGTTTGAACGAACACGGAATTATATGGTTATAGTTTTATTCTTTTATAGGCGACGGAGTTGTGTGGACATATGCGGCGGTCCCCACCTCGTCAGCTTGATGTCATTTCATTGAAATCTAACTTTTGCCCAATTTTACATTATTGTCCCTCTCTTATTTGAGTAGAAAAACTCTTACAAGTTACAACGAGGATAACATTTTTTTATTATCCTGGTCACTCTCATTGTGTTATTGATCGATGATAGCAAAACAATATTATTCCCAATATTTTATTTTATTTTGCTATTAAAAGCTTTGTGATTGCGTGTCAACAATATTGTCCCTTCCTCTTAATGTTGTTTGTATTCATATTCCCCTCATGTCATATATTCCAATTCCTACATCTTAGGTGGTGTATTCGAATTCCCATTTCTCCAAATATTGCATGTATAGAAAAAACAACACTTAAAAAACAAACAAATAAAAAATATGGCTATGCACACAACAACAATGATTAAATTGAACTAAAATTAATAGTTCAAGTTGGTAGTCTATTAAAAAATAAAATAAATCTCTATGATACAATAACATGTATTGTATAAGATTATAGATTATATAATTGTGTTTGTGCGACATTTATTCTGGTGATAATTTAACAATTTGAATTGAAGCTTTTGTAACCATATGAAATGTGAAGGGCATTTAAGTAAGTCAGCATGCTAAAAAGATATGAAGTAAGCGAAGAGAAGCCGTGTGGAAATGCCAATTGGGCCATGTACACCCCTCAATAATACTGTAGCATATTACGCCTATCCCTCGTGGCATTTTTGTCCATATCTAATTTCTTATTGGTGCTATCTTCCTTCTATCTATTTATTTACGTTTTTCTGTTTCTTTTTACGCTTCTAGATGTGAGAGGCCATCACGAAAGCGACATGTAGGTCGGCCAGACCGGCATAGGGTATACGACATGTCGTATTGTGATATTATATTACAGAGAAAGTACCGCCGCCGACTTTCCCTATATTATTTGTCATAAACAAATAAAAATAGCCTACAGCAAGTGGCAGCATTATCCTCTCTTGCAAGTGGCAGCAAGTGAACCCGACTCCAGCACCACCTCACTTGATGATTTTGTTTCAAGCACTTTTGAGCTTCTCTCCTTTTCTCTCTCTCTGGTTTTGGTTTTGTTTTTCAGTGTTATTGTTTCTGAATCTATGATCTGTGTGTTACAAACCATGCCAAACTGTCAAGAATTCTGATGAAAAACACAATATAAATAGTGCCTTGCCTTCACATTCTCACTTTCCCACATCCAAAAACACAAGACTTTTTATCGTAAATTAACAGATAAACATCACAAAGTTTGATACAATGTCTACAGCTGGTCAGGTTATCAAGTGCAGAGGTAAACCCAGACCTCTTGCTATCCTTTGTTAGATAGTTCTGCTCATTTCATTCATTTTTACTGAATCCCATTTATGTTTTTAGTTTTTTTCAGTTTTTTTTTTTGTTTTTCATTTTTCTGATCAAGTTTTATTTTTTGGTTATACCCTTTGTTGGGTTCTCTGTTTCTGAATCTATGATATCTGTTTTTGGGCTATTGGAAACAGCCCAATTTCTAAATCTCTTTTTTTTTTTTTCTTGGTAAGTAAATAACAAATTGGTGTGTATAAGTTGATGTCACATTTTTAAAATTTTGCATAAAATTAACAAAAAAGAATTACGAAAATGGAGGTTCTAAAACAATGTAACATGTCCAAGCTTATCACTTGTTGGTTTCTCCAAGCTTATCACTTGATGATTTTGTTTCAAGCACTTTTGAGCTTCTCTCCCTTTCTCTCTCTCTGGTTTTGGTTTTGTTTTTCAGTGTTATTGTTTATGAATTACAAACCATGCAAAACTGTCAAGAATTCTGATGATGAAATGTGATGATTCAGATTGCTACTATAAAATGAAGTAAATTAATTTTAAAACCACTGCTGATGAAGCAGAAATTTATTGTTGGGCCAAACTTTTCTTCTAAATCTCTGTTTTTGGGCTATTGGAAACAGCCCAATTTCTAAATCTCTTTTTTTTTTTCTTGGTAAGTAAATAACAAATTGGTGTGTATAAGTTTGATGCACATTTTTAAAAATTTTCACAAAATTAACTAAAAAGAATTATGAAAATGGAGGTTCTAAAACAATGTAACATGCCCAAGCTCATCACTTGTTGGTTTCTCCTCGGTGTGGAGTTCAGTAAGAGGTGGGTTACAGTTAAGTGAATAGAAAAGTTGGCTAACAAAAAAGTTGGTACTAGGTAAAAAAAAGAAATATATGTTTAGCCAACTCTTATTTGATGATTTGTTTTTCTTCTTCTTTTTCTATTTCATAAAATTTAAATAAATAAATAAATAAATAAAGAGAAAGACTATTTATCCTTTTTATTCAATTTTGTTAAACTGCCTTAAATTTCAGATGTTTAGGTTGCATTAATTTATCTTACTTTATGTTCTGACTTCTTTTCTTCATATATTAGTGCCAAGGTGAAAAATCAATATGAATCCTTATGAGGACGTGATTTTATGCGTCTATTGCGATGACTTCTCCGGTTGTGATCTTCAAGCAGAACTAGCTCACATGATTAAATGTCACAAGCACGCACCTGAGGTGCAGGAGCTGAGGACATCAGACAATCGCAAGAGATGCATGCTCTGTGTGTCCAACAATGGGTACTAGCATGCAAAGATCTTTACTAGTCAAAAAGCTTTAGACAACTATATGGACAACGTCCATCCAAGTTAGGAGGTTTCATACCCACACTGCGAGAAGAAAAACTACCACAAAGTATTTTTCAACTATGAGGAATACGAATCCCACAAACTCATTTGTGGGAAAAAGTGAAGACCAAGTGCATAACGTATCATTTGAATTTATTATATATTTTGGACATAGGTGGGTTACAGTTAAGTGAATAGAAGGGTTGGCTAAAAAAAATAAGTTGGTGCTAGGTAAAAACAGAAATATATGTTTAGCCAACTCTTATTTGATGATTTGTTTTTTTTTTTCTTTTTATATTTCATAAAAAGAAAATTTAAAAAAAAGAAAGAATGTTTATCCTTTTTATTCAATTTCATTAAACTGTCTTAAAATCCACATGTTTAGGTTGCATTAATTTATCTTGCTTTATGTTTTGACTTCTTTTTTTTATATATTAGTGCCAAGGTGAAAAATCAATATGAATCCCTATGAGGACGCGATTTTCTTCGACTATTGCGATGACTTCTTCTGCTATGATCCTCAAGTAGAACTAGCTCATATTATTAAATGTCACAAGCAAGCACCTGAGGTGCAGGGGCTGAGGACACCAGACAATCGCAAGAGATGCATGCTCTGTGTGTCCAACAAGTACCAGCATGCAAGTAATCAGGAGTCATCAAAACATCAACATGCTGAAGACACCCACTTTGTCAAAGTCTCACAAAAGACTTAAATCTAGAGCCAACAAGAAGGCTAGGCCACGTGCACAATCTGCCTACAGCAAAAGAAAGCCCCACTAAGACTGCCTATTTGCCTGCCGAACGGCAAGACAATGGGCACCCAATCAGAGAGCCATACATGCAAGCTTTGTGTCGCCTTCGGCATCCCTTCACATTCGGCACCTCTTTGCCTAAGCTCACATTCGGCACCCCGTGCCTAAGCTCACCTTTAGCACCCCCGTGCCTAAGCACATTGCCTTGCAAACATGCAAACTTTGTGTCGCCTTCGGCATCCCTTCACATTCGGCACCCATTTGTCTAAGAATTATCTTGCAATATGCAAGCTTTGTGTCGCCTTTGGCATCCCTTCACCTTCGGCACCCCTTTGCCTAAGCTAACCTTCGGCACCCCCGTGCCTAAGCACATTGCCTTGCAATATGCAAGCTTTGTGTCGCATTTGGCACCCCTTTGCCTAAACTCACCTTCGGCACCCCTGTGCCTAAGTACATTGCCTTGCAACATGCAAGCTTTGTGTCGTTTTTGGCATCCCTTCACCTTTGGCATCCATTTGCCTAAGCTCACCTTCGGTACCCCCGTGCCTAAGCACATTGTCTTGCAACATGCACGTTTTGTGTCGCCTTTGGCATCCCTTCACCTTCGGCACCCCTTTGCCTAAGCTAACCTTCGGCACCCCCGTGCCTAAGCACATTGCCTTGCAACATGCAAGCTTTGTGTCGCATTCGATATCCCCTTCACATTCGGTACCCATTTGCCTAAGCTCACCTTCGGCACCTCCGTGCCTAAACACATTGCCTTGCAACATGCAAGCTTTGTGTCGCCTTTGACATCCCTTAACCTTCGGCACCCCCGTACCTAAGCACATTGCCTTGCAACATGCAAACTTTGTGTCGCCTTTGGCATCCCTTCACCTTTGGCACCCCTTTGCCTAAGCTCACTTTCGGCACCCCTGTGCCTAAGCACTTTGCCTTGCAATATGCAAGCTTTGTGTCGTCTTTGGCATCCCTTCACCTTCGGCACCCCTTTGCCTAAGCTCACCTTCGGCACCCCCGTCCCTAAGCACATTGCCTTGCAACATGCAAGTTTTGTGTCGCCTTTGGTATCCCCTTCACATTCGGCACCCCTTTGCCTAAGCTCACCTTCGGCACCCCCGTGCCTAAGCACATCGCCTTGCAACATGCAAGCTTTGTGTCGCCTTTGGTATCTCTTTCACATTCGGCACTCCCATGCCTAAGCTCACCTTCGGCACCCCCGTACCTAAGCACATTGCCTTGCAACATGCAAGCTTTGTGTCGACTTTGGTATCCCCTTAACATTCGGCACTCTCATGCCTAAGCTCACCTTCAGCACCCCCGTGCCTAAACAAATTATCTTGCAATATGCAAGCTTTGTGTCGCCTTTGGCATCCCTTCACCTTCGGCAACCCTTTGCCTAAGCTCACCTTCGGCACCGCCGTGCCTAAGCACATTGCCTTGCAACATGCAAACTTTGTGTCATGAATATAATTATGAACACAAAAATTTGAAAACTTGTTACCAGCAGCTTTCACTTTGAACTCTTGGAGAACAGCACAAGCAATAAGACTGTGCCACGTGGACCAATCAATTTGGAAAATTCTTGGAGTGAGCTTGCTCTGGCTATTGGCTAATCTAATATGGAGTGATCGTGACAGCAGAGGAGCATCGAAACGCTGCATCCAAGGATGTAGAACCGGGTCTTTTGGTGCTTCGCCATCATCAAGCACCGCTTTCGAAACCCCATTTTCCGGTGGCTTTTCCGGCGGATTCGGCTTGTGATTTTGGGTTTGGGGAAAATTAGAACTTATCATAGAGCAAAAATGCTCCCTTATATTTATACACGTTTTTCTGTTTATTTTTACGCTTCTAGACGTGGGAAGCCGTCATGAGCGTGACATGTATGTCGGCCAGACCGCCAAGGGGTATACGACATGTCGTGTTGTGATATTATATACAGAGAAGAGAACGTACCGCCACCGACTTTATATTATTTGACATAAAAAAAAAATAACAATAGCCGACAGCAATATCTTCTCCTGCTTTTATATGTAAATTGTAATTGAAAATTCAATTTAGAAAAACATACTGATCGGAGAAGTAACCTGCCAACAAGAAATAAACCATGCAAATGAAGAAATTTACATTTTTTCTTTTCTTTTCAAAATTTTCATTTGATCTACTAAGTATTTGAGAGTATGTTGTCGTATATCGTCGAAGAGCGAAAATACTTGAACGTTTATGTTTTCTGGTAGTAATATTTGTCAAGGAGCTTCTCTGTGTACTCTCCAAAGGTAAGAGCACCATTTGGTGAAATCAACTGAAAGAGAAGACGATAGTTAAAAATGAAAGAAAAAGAAGAGAATAACGTGATGGTTGATGTGCATGCCTTTAGTGGTGATGCATTACCTCTTTATGGATATGAATCTCCTCTGGAAAATTAAGCTTCTCATCCCTGCAAAAATGAATTATGCTTAACTACCATCAACCATTGCTTAAGATATCACACATGTGATGTGACCAGAGATGCACTTACCAGTCAGGTTGCATAAATAATGCAAATGTCGAACGATCAAGACTGCAAGCATCCTTTCCCTTGGGTGCCTGAACAAACATCCAGTGAATCAAAACAATGACTGCTATTAGACATATGCCAAGGAAAACTTTGGTTTTCGGGGGAGAGGAGAGGTAAATAAGAACAGGGGAGTTGGTTGCACAAACTAGACAAAAGACTTATGTCTAGGGAACCCTGTTCTGAGCCAAGCTTAGTAGAGAAAGTACCCGGACACAATGTGGTGTCGCACAAAGATAACCTCTTGACAGAATTTCAGTGGTTTCGCCAATTTGGTATGCTATTGCATCTTCTCCAAAGACAACCTAATACATAAACAATCATGGAAAATCATTATTGTCAACTGTATCCTCCATTATTAGAATTTTCAAGAATAAGAAGACATACTTTGACAATCTGATCTGTTCGCGTTCTGATATAAAGGCCAGCACCAATATCAGGGCAAGGTATTTCAACAGCATCTCTCGTAAACATGGCACAGGTCAGTCCTACATATTAATTTAAAGTGGAAAATTAGGCACATCGAAAGTGTCCCGACTAGATAATTGTAAGGAAATTATATGCACCTTGTACTAGTAATCTATATGTTATTGCATGAACAGCACGCACACATCCAAACTTAATGTTCATATTATACAAAGAAGAATTGATTTGATGGGTTACAACATAACATGTTGAGCAATAAGCATTGACATGAATTAATTAATATAATAAGATGAGAAAAAAAAATGATCACCGGTCAGTGAACCATGGTCTGTATGCCATCCACACCAAGATGACATGTCTTTATTATCTTCAGTTGAATCACTGCAAGTCGTAATTCACTTGTTAATATACTACCTCTGGGAGCCAAAAGAATGCATACCGCAGTACTATTTATTCTTTTAAACCTTAGTAACCATCTACTGCCATTCTTAACCTCCTTCACTGCCCAGAGATCATCTTGCCCATATTAAAACTGTTAGTGTAATTCCTTTATACTAACTAACATGAGCATCATCTTAATTATGCTGTTCAACTTTAAGGGAATCATGATTTTAGGACTTCATAAAAGAATGGCACATTTCCTTCGTCTTATATTTCAACATAACAAAATGAATGATCAAAATATTACCAAACATGAGAGACGAAGAATTTTCAAAAAGAACTTGAACTTCACAACAAACCGATGCATTATCAGCTATGGGTGAATTGTGATGCGGACAGAAAATATAATTACCTCTCTTTTGTGGGAAAGTAATAAAGTAGACGCCCTTTATGACACCGAGAACGAAAAAGTAATTGTTCAAGGCCTTTATCCTCACTCATTTTGATTGCTTTTGACACTGTTCAAGCACTCATCAAAATTTGAAAGGGTCACCATAAATCAACAGCTATACATAAAGAAAAAAAGGGAGCTGCTATTGGGACTCCAAAATAGTCATCCTAACAATTCCCCTGAAAATCAATAACAGCAACGAGCTAGCAAGAAGACTATGTCATTTTGTTTGGCCAGGGGTTCAGAAAAGGTCAATATCATTTAGTTGTGAGGTGTCGAGCATTCTTTATCCCTTCTACACCAGAGATGATAAATTTAAGGTTCTTGTGATGTAATCATGTAAAAGATTCAGAAATCTTGATTTAACCCTTTTCCAATATCATAGATTGTGTCATCTCAATTTCTTATATCCTTAGGCCTTGTGAATACTCATATTATGATACTTGTTTTCTGGCCAGGGCAAAAAATATTTGTGCAGTTAAATGTTACAACTTAAGTATAAAATGAGACCTGAAAAACAACATAGTTATCTTCTCTTGGAGTAAAAACCATAACAATATGAAACTTTACCATATCTGTCACAGTGAAATGCTACCATAAGCCCCACTCCAAGGATCAGCTTCCCAAGAGCTTTGAAGGCTACAAATCAAAAGGTCATATTCAGTGATAATACAATCATGAAAAGTTGAATATATACATTATATAATTCAAAAAGTGAAAAGGCATAGAACTAAGAACATTGTAGAACTTTCTTTACGAGCTATAATAACTCAGTTTGTTGTTGCATAAAGTAGACATAGTAATGAAATCTATATATTTAGTAAATATAAATTACTAGTGGCTACTCAGTCACAACAAAGCTTTCAAAATTACTTGCATGGCCATGGAACATCTATGAAGCATAGAGCTAAGCAATCAGGCAATCATCATAAAGTCAACCACCATTAGGAGAAAAATTAAAGAATAACAACTTGTGGCCAAGAAAATCACATAAATTCAAGGGAAACATACCGACTTCAAGTTCTGGCAATTCACTATTAGGCCACATATTTGATCCACAGTATGATGGATACCTGGGTACAGATCACAAGCAAAAATCTGAGCATACAAAGCATAATGTTCTGTTTGCGCAAATCTGTAATTTCTCAAATATAAAGAAAGTTTGGCCTGGCCTATTTTATACACATACAACCTTATATAGGGAATGTATGTTAGTTATTCGTAACCACAAAAAACAACAGTCTAGCCAAACTTTTCTGATCTGTGCCATATACCATGTGACCACATACAAAAGAAAATGCCATACGTAATCAGATTATGATTTTTATGTTCCTAGAGACTGTTACCTTTGAAGTAGAGATTCATCTGTTGTAGGCCTATCTAATATTGGATTTGCATAAAAAGAGCCTTTTAATGTATCTGCGAAACCAAAACACAAACTGAAAAGAATAAATAACAATCATGTGACTAGGCATGATTGTAATTTAGAGTTTCCAACAAGAAAAAAAAAAGGAGGGTGATACCAGGCTTTCCAGATTCCAGCTTCTCTTTTCCATGACTCCATCCAAAATTGTACCTACATATGGAAGGCGGGTAAAAAAAAGATAAATCATACATCTACCCAGAATGATGAATTAGAGTTCTCATCAGATGAATACAACAAGTACAAACAGATTCCCGAGAAATGCACTAAAGCTAGGTAAATAAATTTAAGAGTTGAGTCTTGTAGGGGATATTTTTGGAAACTCGCTATTAAATAAAGAATAGATTGATGTTTGTATTTATACAGAAAATCTGTCAATGGCTTAAGAGAAATCAAATCATAAGGATGGAATGGAACTAAAATGCCTTACCTACTATCAGGATCTTCGAGTTCCTTCTTCACCTCTTCCGGCAGATTGGCTAATCTAATTAAAAACAAATAAAAATTCCCATGAGCAGTGCTATATCAAACTATCTTCCTATGTTCATATGACTTTCAGATAAAATGAACACGAAAATCCTATGTAGAAGGTTGTACCTAGGTGACAGGTGTAGAAGATTTCGGCGCAAGGAAGAATATCCCGGAACCTGCAATTGGAAACTCAAGGAAACAATCACAAGGACACTAGAAAGCAAATAGTTATCAGTTCAATACAATATGATTGTACAGCATAAATACTAATTAGATTTAGCATGTAAAAGAAAGCATAATCACTAATTAACAAAGGAAAAAGGACCGAACCTAAAGAGAATAAAAGGAAAATAGAGACGAACAATTTAAATGCGTAAAGTAACCATACATCAGTGATTGATAAGATTCCTAGCCCATTAGGTCCAAAGCCTTCTTCAATCTTCAATGACAAGTCCGTGTTCTTGTCCTGCCTCAATCAATCAATCCATCAAACAAGATAAAATAAAATAAACGTAAATCAGAAAATCAAATTCTTGACATGCGCGATGATCCGCGAGTTTAGCAGAGCAAAACATAGCAATTAAAGAAAACTAAGAATAAAACAAATAAGACTCTGTTCGGATGCCAAGAAAATAATAAAATAATTCGGTACGGTTGATGATTACAACAAAAAAAGTCAACACAAAGAGTATTTTACACTAATTTCGCTGAATTATGTTGAGTTTCTAAGCAGCCAAGCAGCAAATAAAGCCGATCAATCCTAACTCTTATGTTTAATTTTCTCGGTAACCAAACAAACAAAATTGAATGAGAGAGAAGGTTACTTTGAGCTCCGAGTATGATATGGTGACTGGCGTGACGGTGGTCTCGGAGGAAGAATGCATACTTCGACAGGAAATTTGGCGGGAAAGAAGGGGATTGGACTGTGACGATGACGGTGAGGAAGAACCCGTGGAAATGAAGAGGAATTTGGTGGGAGGGAAGGTTTTATATAGGAGGTGGGAAGTCATTTGGTGTGAATCGTGATTGTCAATTCAAAATTTTGAACGAATAAATAAAAGGAGGCATGCTCGTGCTCTTCACCATCCTCATCCCTTCCCTCCAAACCCGAATATTCACTAGTGGGTGGGTAGGGTAGCTTTCCAATTCAAAATTTTGAAAATAATATTTCTATTTATTCTTCACTTAGAACCAAATGAAAATGAAAGTGATTCTTGTTAGGATATCTTCTAACTTTTCACAAATGGAGTTAAAACTAACAATTATGAAAATGCCTTTATTAACTTTGATTTTGCTAACAAACTCTAGTCGCTCTCTCCGTTTGTAAGTCTTAAAGGAAAATTCCATAAAGAAGAGAAGAGGGTTCGTCGTTTCCCTTTAGGTTAGTGAATAAGTTCACTGGGCGTTTTGAATAAAAAGCCCATTGTAGTGATTTCTTATGAGCCATGATTAGATTGAAGTTTCCCATAACCCAATTTAGTCTATGTTCTCAATCAAATCCTTCCCCCAAAACCCGCTCCCTAACACCGCTCATGTTCTTTAAATTTGATTCTACATCGTATATGACAGAGGCTGCTGCAAATCACCAAATTGTTCTTTGGCAAAGTTGTTTTTGTTTATTTGTTGTCTCTTATACGCAAGTAAATCGTTGTAAACTATTAATTAAAATAAAAATATAAAAGGATCCCAATAATGCCACATTAAATAGGCCACATCATCACTTAATGCCTTCTTTGACGGACTGGGGAGTGACCAATTTGTATGTTTTCTGTAAAGTTAGGTATGCTCGTGTAAACCCCCAAAAAAAAAATCCGCAAAAATTATCACAATGATAATTATCACTTTTTTTGTTTGTTTTTGAAATGGTAGTACAAAAGGCATCAAAAGCGTCCAAGTGGAAAATGGTTTATTCTCTCATGCAGATTTAACGTCTAATGTTATTGCTCAAGCTATCACAGGAAATTTTTCTACAAATATTATTTTGCTTTGAGTACAGAAGATGAAGATAGGTCGTTTTCACATGCATTCACACGCTCAACTCCTCAACGTTTGGGCTCAACGGTTCAAAGAGAGCTTCCACTTCATTCTGGTTAACCTCCTCTAACTTTGCCGGGTTCCACTTCGGATTCTGCATGCACAATAAACACAAACCGATATTATTCGTTGTTTGTTGTGACATATGGAAAAGAAGATGAACTTATAACTTTGATGGTCTAAAAACAAAAGGGAAGGAACACTTTCACAAAAGCATAAAGATTGCAACGATTAATATTGCTGCTTCCAGTTTCAATGAGCTGATTTCAACAATACTTTCTTGCCAATTTATAGGAAGGAATCTTGAGAATATTAACGAACCTGATCCTTGTCCACCAAAACTGCCCGCACACCTTCAGCAAAGTCGTACCGCAAAGACGATCTTAAGGCGATGCGATATTCAGTTTTCATTACACCAGTTAACTGGATTTGGACAAGTACAGAATGAGTACACAATATTTTCAGAACAGGAGAGCTACTAGAAAACAAAACCTATCAAAAGGAATGCAACCACATGATGAAAGAAACAAAAAGGTAGAACTCCAGACTCACTGTGGATAATTGATTGTCGTTTTTCCCAAGTGCAGATGCAACTCTGGAGAAATACTTTTGTGTCAAGTAAAGTGAAAAGGGAGCACCCTTTCCAAGACCTTGAAGAGCTTCATTAGCCCACTCCACCACTGCAACACAACAATGAATCACCACCAACAACAAAACAAAAAGGCAAACCACAATAATTGACAGTGACACCCAAACCTCTCTAATAGACATGATAGATTTCATTTCATTATCAATAAATACATTCACAAACATACCAGTAGCATCTGAACTCTGTTGATGCTTTTTAAGTTCATCAATTGTCTCAAGAACTGACTTATTTGCACCAAATGCTGAAGTTATTTGAGGCAAAAGCAATCTTAATTGGGCTTCAGAATCAGGGTTGCTGCTGAATTCCCCCAAAGTTGTTTCAATATCCTGATGTGGATCTTGGGAACTACATCAACAATGGAGTTACTTTTATCTCAACACGCCATTTACCAATGTGATGATGCCAACCAAGTTTAACCCATGTGCGCATAAAAATATGAAGATAATAAAATAAAAGAAAGAATGTGGAAAGAAAATCAGAAACATACAAGTTGGTTGACAAAAGGGCCTCTTTTAGTGAACCTAAGTTTTGAGATGGCACAAAATGTGTCCCGAGACCTACATATAGTGCATCTGATGGTGTTGAAATCCTTTTCCCAGTCAGTCCAAGATAAGCACCTAGAAACATTAAACACTATTAAACAACTATAAAACAAAGAATTGAGATATGAAGCAAACAGAGAAATCTTATAAGTCATTCTCCTTATTAATGAACTACTTTACTTAAATTTTGTAGTTTCTCCATACTTTCTGATTGTAGTGCCTATATGACTACTTTCTATAGTACGTCAACACTGGAAAAAAAGCTTGCACCAGTTTAAGGAAAAAAACTGCATGAGGATAAGAAAAGCATACCAACTGATCCTCCTCCTGGACTCTTTCCCGCTATATGTGAAAACCCAACATCTGGGAACAAACCAATTCCATTTTCTGGCATAGCAAGAACAGTCCTCTGAAATGCATCCAAACAAGAGAGTTTAAATACGCAAAATTCAGAAAGCCAGTGCAACACAATTGACATAATTGACAATATCTGCCTGACAAGGCAATTAACCTCTGTAACAATCCGGTAGCGACCATGACCTGATAGGCCAATTCCAAAGCCCATTGTTATGCCATCCATGAAACTTACATAGGGCTTCTTGTACTCAGAAATTTTGCATATCAGAGAATACTCAGCAGTGAATACCTGCAAAATGTGCAGCCCAAATATCATATCAGTAACCTTTCAGTCTTAATAATACTACAAATGGTAGCTCAAAAAAGAAACGCATGATATCCAACTAATACAAATGATATTACCCAAGTTCAAATACAACCATCAGACCCAAAAAAAAAAAGTACAACCAAATAAATGACCAGATGTCGTAACTTCTCAAGAATGTCAAATATGAAATTCCCAGAAAACAAAATTGTTGAAAATTAACTACCAAATCAATACATGAAGAATGCACAATCTTAGCTGCAATTTATGACATTTATACAATATTGAATCACCAAACCAAAAACGTAGTGCAGAACTCATATAAGTGAAATTCTTTAAAAGGTTTAGACCTATCTCAACATCTTAAATGTACTTGGTAAGAAAAATATTTAGGAGCACGTCCTAAAACCTACTAAATGCCGAAGCTTTAGACCAAAACACAATAACAGTACAGTAGACCTTTGTTTTTAATAAGAACAGTGGCACTAGATTAATAAGAGTTACATTAGTTTACATCAATTATGATGCTAATGCATGAGTGTTATTGTAAAAGGCTTGCTTTGCTTGTATTAAGTCTTAGTCATCAATGGTTTTCAAGGGTCAATGGTATTGCTAGATGTAAATTCTACCTACTTTGAAAAGTACCAGAATTGCATATAATATGGTAGAGAAGACAGTCATCTTATATTATCCGGATTTTAGCAAACTGTATAAGGTTATGAGCCTGTTATTATCTATAGTTAAAAGGACACACAACGAGACCTCAATCATATCCGGCAGTTGGTTTTTGGTCGTGATCTGCTTCACATCACCCCCTGCAGGTAAACTAAAATCTGGGTCATCAATGAGATAACAAGCCAACTTAAGGGGCACCTTATATGATACAAAAATGCAACATAAAAAGGAATGAAAGGAAACAATAAACAACATGAAATGACACAGCAAGAATGACCAAGACCAACAACCTATCAAGTAAGAACCTAAACAAGAAACAATTCTAGATCAAAGCAAGCGTAATGTAGAAACCTTCGGCACAAGAGGTGTGTTTTTGTCCTTTTGGATTTCAGCAACAACCCCTTTAATATCCATTCCTGCATTTACCATGATTGATCACTCTCAAAACCTAAGACTCAAAAACAAAAATAACCGCCTAAAGAGCTAAACAGACATCTCTAGGAAAACATATTTAGCTACACATAATATTTAACGGAAACTCTATATCTTCTGTATGTTACCCGCACAAAAGGCACGAGCTGAGCTGCTATCAACCAAAACGCACTTCACATTTGGGTCTGATTCCCATTCATCCAGATAGCTTTTGTATTTAACATCCATATCTGCATTTTGAAATAAGTTCCACTTAAAAGTTTATACAAAATTCTTTGTAAAGCTAACTGCTTTGAAATAGCTACCAGACATGACATTTTATCACAAATGAACTGACGATCTTTACATGTAATGTAATAACACAGAATTTTTGTTACTAATAAGATGCAATAAAATTCAAGCTTGAAAAAAAAACAGCTCCAATTTCCAAATGCAAAAGCTTTCACGTCTATATACCTAGGTTCATGGCGTTGAGAGCTCTGGGGCGATCGAGGGTGATGACACCGACACCGTTTGGGTGAACGCTACCCTTGACGAACTCATCGGCGCTGGCCATGATCGCGAAGGTTCGGAGAAGGAGAGGGGTTTTGGAGGCTTTGCACACAGAGAGCTTCGAATTTGAGTTGAGGAAGAAGAAAACGGACGATTTGCTCAGAGTTTGGGTAGCTCCGAATAAGCTTCGCATACTTCAGTTTTAATCTGAAGTGAGAGAGTCGGAGAGTGACGCTGTATCAGTGTGACCGGATTACCCTTGATGTTTCGGTTAAATTACCGGGAAAGAACTGCCTCGCTGCCAGTGCCCCGGAAGGAAAAGTTCTGACAGTGTGGTGGCGGGTAGTGATTGGACTTTGCTTTGTGGCGGGAGGGTGTTAATGGTAATTCAGGTTATGACCAAAATGTAAGGCCCATAATTAGGCCAGCCCATTGATCATATTCTCTGAGCTACATGGGCTTAGTAGCCTAATTTTTAAAACAGCAAGCCCAAATTTGATTTCCATTTCCATTTCATCTGGCTATAATATTGTGCTTGTTTAAGGAAGTGAGTTGCTAAATACACCCAAAGATTTACTTACTACATCCAGCCTCCAATCTGGAATCTTACAAAAATAATAAAATTTGGAGTTTTGGTTGGGAAACTCAAGG